ACCATTACTACTACTGCTACTACTACGACGACGACGACGACGACTACTACTACTACTACTACTACTATTACCACAACAACTACTACTGCGGTTATTGCTACTGCTGCTACTACTGCTACTATTGCTATTATTGCCACTACTGCTACTACTGCTGCAGCTACTGCTGCTACTGTTAGTACAAGTACTACTGCCAGTACTAGTACTAGTACTCCCTGGAAGTCATTTTTCTCCACGAAGATGGCATCTGAAGTTGGTTGTGTTTCACCCCTGGGCATGTCGCCAACTGCAAAGGTGTCGAGAGCTTGTCTGGCCTGTCCATGTCGCAGGCGCCGCAGCAACATGTGTGTGGCTTCAACGGTGGCGTTGTGCGTGTGTGTGTGTGTGTGTCAAATTGTGTGTTGACCGGTACAAAGCCAGGTCGCCCTGGGGCTGATGCATTCTGTCACGATGCCCTGATCTCGACTGGTCGTGTTCCGCAGATTGTAGCATCCAGAGAAGCTTTAAGTTGCTTTCATGACATCTTTTCAGTACGGTGTTGCCCAGCAACAGAACCCTCACACTCCGAAGCACTGCAGGTCGGTCAAAGGGCAGCTGTACACTTGGGGGAAGGGTGCCGCCACTGGCTTCCATGTCGGGGAAGTGATCCCCACGCCACGGCAGGCCACTCGAGGAGTGAGTGATCAACGAGAAGTGAGGAGAAACTGCTCTCTCTGTCTCTCTCTCTCTCGCTCTCTGCCTTGCTCTCTCTCTGTGTCGTGTTTTGTGTTTCTCAGCACATATACCTGACAGCGAAGCAATGCACGATGTCGCTTGTGTTCTTACTTTAGTTTTTTCGACCAGCATGCTTCGCAGCCAGGTGAAGCTAGAGTCGCGCGACCCCGCAGCGCGCCCAGCAACTGCACGGAAACAGTAAGCAGAGATGTTTGTGCTTTGGGTTTCGATGTTTGTAGGTGAGAAGGGCCCATGGATCCCAGCAAAGTTGAAGATCTGAAAATCGCGGACACAACCATTGGACCTTGAAATGAGCGTTGGTGGTCGGAGTTGAACTTGGCGTGGCAGCCATCCCGAACGGAAGCCAGTGCTGTAGCGTCCATTTATCTCGAGGGCTGGGCCGGGATAGACGAAACATCGCGCCGATGTTCCGAGGTTTACCAGATCGCTGCTGGCCCGTTGCACACAGCTCGAGCCTGGCAAAAGCACGTTGCAAAATCAGTTCGCTTCTCTTCAAGCTTCAGGTGGTTCTCATGCAGAAAGGCAACATACTTTGCTTTGGCTCTGGCACCGAGGGCCGGCTGCCATTCAGGCGAAGAGACCTCAAGTCTAGCATCAAGCCAAGCTATAGTGTAGGCCCTAGGCACGCCTTTCTGAAGCGGCACGGGGAGTGACCACGTAGTACACCGGCAACCAACGGCGCAGGGACTACGACGGCAGCGTGGTGGACTTCCCTTTGCCGACCGTGCTGAATGCTCCAGATCTCAAGTTGAAGGTGTGCATCTGCAGGGCTAGCTGGCACGTGGTTTTGAAGCCGTTTTTGCAGCTTGCCGAAGAGTCCGAGTGTCCGATTCTGCAGCTGATGTTCTCTTTCCCTGAGGGCTGGGCAGCCGAGAATGACAAGGCCATCCAGGCCTCCCAAAGCCAGAATCGCGAGGCCACATGGTGGCCCTCAAGGACGGCTGGCTAACGTGCCAGGGGACAGTCGTCTTTAGAGCAATGTTTCGGGCAAAGCAGTCTTATGCGTGCTTTGGAGGATGTGCTGCGGCTCAGCGAGCACGGCGATTTTGACAGGCCCGGGCCGCGGGAAGCTGTGCCCGGCGGCCAGTGGAGAGAACTTCGGATGAAGCTTTGAAAGGCAATAGGCGACGTTAGCCATTTGTTCCGATTCTTAATTTGCGTGGCCCTGTGAATTCTGAGGAAGTAACTAGGCTAATTAAGAAGCATCCAACAAAGCTTGATAAACGCCATGAATTTCTTTCCATCTTGGGTTCAAGGCTGAGGGGCGCAGAAGCGGTGCAACAACATGCATGACCTTCTTGCAGAGTGGGGGCAATCTGTCTAGCAGCTTAGGACAACTTTGCGTTTCCCCGCAGCCACTAGGGTCCAAGCTCCTAAGGAGCTGAGGGCAACGGCAGGTGGACCCTTTGTCCAGGATGCCAATGTGGGTGGGGGCCCGACAGGTAGTGTGGATAGGTAAAGAGTTGGTCTTCGAGTACCTTTGCAGCTTTTGCTGCGGCTTGATGTTAGAGCAGAAGCCAGGCAAGGGCCAAAGACACACATCAATTGCTCCTGCTCCCACACTGGCGAGCTTTAAGAAGTGCACTTGAGAATCAACGCCATCTGTGTCGGTGGTCTTGCACCTCGCATCACCTTGCCTCCGAATGGATTGACCGGTGCTGCTCGGCTTGCTCGCAATGCCGCCTGCATGTCGTCGTGTCGTGCACGCAGGAGTTGCCAGGCACGCTGCCAATGCGGGAACTAAGGTTGCTGGGGTGCAGTCCCAGGCTCTGGCTCGGGCTGAAAGACGCTGAGATCACGCGAGCTAATGGGTGTCGCTCGAATCAAGTTTGGCATGGTGTTGTGGTTGGTGCTGTAGAAATCGTCCAGGGTGCCCCAGCTGAAGCCATTGCAGAACGAGCACACCAGGTACCTGGTACATTGGCACTGCTGTCCTTCGCTCTGGCGTGGCTTGGTCAGATGCAATAGTGTCCCGGTCTTCATTGCCAACAGGGCATGCGATTGATCAGGTGCCGCGTCGTGCGGCCTACCTCGACGTGGCTCGTGGTCGATGCCGATGACTACGTAGATGTCTTCCTGAACGGGTGAATAGGCCGCAGAAGCAGAGCATCCCGAGATTTTGAGCTTCAGGACTTCATCCAGCTTTGATTCTTGATCAGCTTGCAAGTTTGTCTCAGTTGAAGCCATTACAACTGACGAAGTACTCCGAACAGGTGTATCGGAGGTTTGACACAATCTCCAGTTGCGGAGCTAAGCCCAAAGGTCCGTGTCTAAGCCCATGCGATAGCTTGTCGGAATTCAAGCAGCCGAGGAATTTCGTTCTCCCTGACATCTCTGCAACATTGATCCCATTGATGCTTGTCCCCGTTGCGAGGAGCTAGTGGTGTTCGCAAGCCGTGCTAGGTCCTGGTGTGCATGCCACGTGCGTGCATGCGTTGGTGTAAGTGCGGGCGGCCTACATCCCTAGATGATATGAGAGCCGATCACTCCCCCGTACCTGGATCTGCAAAGGCGGACAGGCTGAGCCACCTGGCAAGTCCAACCAGAAGACAATTAGGCCCAGGCTCCATAGGCCGCTTCCAGCTTCTGCGCCCGTTGGTTCTGAACCCAGAGCTTGGCTCTATACAGACATTCAGAGGTCGGAGGCTGTGGATGAATGCGTAAGTGCATCGGCTCACCGCACTACCTGATAGCCCAAACTCCCATTCCTGCCTGAAATTGGTACAGTATGGCAGGGTTCGACCCCACTAACTAGGTTCGCTCGGCCAGAGATCACCCGATCCAAAAACAGACCGCTGGCCAGGGCGTTGCATTGTTCGGACAGACCATGCATAAGTCATGTTTGATGCAGACCCCCTGTTTTTTAGAGGTCCGATCGGACACTTTCATCCTGCAGTCGAAATAGATCTTTTGCAGGTGTCGTGTACTATTAGCTGATGTGTTTCCATGGGAGCCGGAAACGGTTTCCGCGTACCTGTAGTTCAGCTACTGGGCATTGACACGTGCACTTCTGGGGTCGCAGCCATTCCCTGGGTCTGGCAGGGACAAGACCCAATCCCGACCGTGACATTAGGCTGTTGAAGCTCGGGAATGCCTTCAAAACACCCAAAGAAAGAGCTTGCTGAAGCACCAGCCTATGTTTTGTTTTTGTTGTGTGTGGGACTTTGTTACCACGGAGACAGGACCCAATCCCCATGTGGCACCAAGATTGGATTAACTGTTTAAGATCGCAGGTGCAAACAAGCACCTGCTGCAGGTAGCGACCTACTTGGCTTGTTGTGTGTGTGGAACCCTGTTACCACGGGACTTGCACAAAAGAGTGCATGGGGCACCCCATGAATGCAGTTGCTGCTCCAACAAAGAGTGGTTGATATGGGAGCTTGGCCACGCCCAAGCTAAGCCATGAACCTGGCAAGTCGAACCGGTGAAAAAAAACACTGAGGCTTTTTCAGGCCAGTTCCATGTTCTGAACCCGTTTTTTGTTCTGAACATAGAGCTTGGTCACATACGGAACAGTTAAAGATATAGGTCGGAGGTTGCAGATGAACCCATAGGTAACAGTCTGTGTGTGCCTGTGTGTCTCCGTGTCAATGTGTTTTTTGCGCGCGTGTTTCCAAAGGATTTGGTTTGAAATTGTAGCAGCAGCAAAGCCAACCCCGTTAGCATAGCTGGTTGCCCAATGAAGAGGGTCTGTTACGGCTGATACTGGTTTGCTGAACCCACCGGGGCCCACCGTGCCTGCTTCCGCACAGCACGGGATGAAGCTCCTGCATAGCGCGGGACTAAGTTTAGCACCCCGAATTCATTGCAGGCGTTGTGTAAGGTCAGAATCCCAATGCATTCACAATCATTATAAACCTGGAGTGTGGCTGTCTGGGCCTCGGCAAACAGACACGAAAGAGAACACGTAGAAGGATGTGTGAGAGCGACCAAGCTATGCCAACGAAGCAGGCAATGAATCAGGTGGAAGGGAGTCTGCACGCAGATGCTTGTAAGCGTTGTAGCTGCAAAGATTGCAAGGCGGCGCTAGGCAGGCTCACACGATTGCCTGGTCTGATTTGGGACCTGTCATGACATCGTGATGGCTTGTCATGCCCATGGCATTGGTGATTCGTCGCTGTGTTCCGTAGTGTCGGAGGCCACAACATCTCGACGCAACAAGAAGTGCGTATCTTCCCGTGCTCCCCTGGCGTGTTTTGATTCCACAACCCCAAGGCTGAGCTGAAAAAACGGGGCTTGCGGGGCAGCCTGAGCAAATAAATTTGATCTTCGGCCACGGCCATGCTGTAACAGCACGTCTGGCTCTCAATTCCCAGCAGGGACCAAAAGACCGAGTTCTGGGCTGAGGCTCTTATGAATCAGAACGCTAGTCAACCGCAGAAGGCAAGGATTTTTTGCATCACGCAGGCAACCTGCTACGTTTTTCCTAAGGAACGGTGTGCGACGTGTTCTGGCGCAGGAGGTCAATGCAAAAGTTTGTTGGCAGCAATCAATGGATTGACTCTTATTCGGTCAAGGCTTTGACACCAATTTTGCGCCCGAGCGACGAGGTCATCGTCTTCCCGTTGGGTATCAATCCCGGAGACCTTTTGGCGGTGCGGGTCTTGACCTCGAGGCCTGTCTGTCTGTGTGTGTGTGTGTGTGCGTGTGCTGGAAGTGCAAGTCAGAGCCAGTCTCGCGAATCTCAGACCGCAGCTGGTGAACGTGACTGACCCTGTGGGCAAAGTGACGCAGTTCCCGGCCCCGCCGGGAATAATAATGGCAGCACAAAATGGTGTGAAGCCTGGGCTGTTTTGGCTTGGGTGATTCTTTTTCGAATGAGTTGGAATGGTTCATACGCCTTAGGGCCTTAGGGACACTTCGCAGCCCGAAGCCTAGCTGGGCCTAGCTGCTAGGCAAGCTCGTCTGATTACAGTTCCCCTCTCTGCCGAGGATGACATCGATGGCTTTCAAGTGCAGCACCGAGGAGAAAGCCAGGGATGAACAGAGCACTCCATTCTTCTACCCTGCGCCTCGTGCAAGACGAGCAGCTTCATTTTGGCACTGGTGGTCGGTTTTTGCAAACGCAGGCATGGAGGGATTCGTTGAAAGACAGGACATACATTTGGCAAGGCGCAGGCCCTTCACTCTGAGACTGATCAAAGCAGGGCTCATTGCAATGGTTAGCGGCACGTAGACTCGCTAAGGATTTCAACGACAGCCACTGGCCTGCTGCATCGGAGCTCTTTGGCAGACTCAGTCTTGCCAGGACTTGGAGCACCTTTCAAGACCAGTTTGTTGAACAAGAGCCCTTGGACTGGTTCTACCCCTTCGACCTGTTAATTCCAAAGTAGATCGCCCCCTCTCCGCTGCAGCACAATCGCGAACCGTGCGAGGCAACAAGAAGGCTGCTGCCCTTGGCGGGATCCTTTCGACATCTGGGGCCGCCTCAATGCCAAGTGGATTGGCCTCAACCCTGCCACCTTCGTGTGACTCGGATGTGTCGAGCAATGTGAACGCTCCGACATGGCACTCTAGTCCTTCCAGTGCCTGTGCCGTACGTTTACAGCTTCGTTGGTGCGATGCCTTCGCGCTTTAAAGAAGCAGCTCCAGGAACATTTCTGGGCCTCGCAACTTCAACTGCCGCTACCGGATCCCAGGACTTTAGCGTTTGATCTTCAATAAGTTGGTGTGGCCGGAACTCGGAAGCCGGCGAATCTCACCTGGCCCTGGCCCGGGGTTATTCAGATTTCTTTGCGCTTCTTTCCTTCGCTGTGTCCTGCCCACGAAATTGCCGTCCTGCCGCTTGTTCTGCGTGTTCGCAGCTGGAGTGGAAGAGAGAGGGAAGCACTCGATAGATGCATTCATGTGCTTTGATGCCTTTGATTCGGCGGGTTGGTTCCGTCAATGTTATTTGATTTCCACCACTGCCACGGGTCACGCTTTGTCCTGGCACGCGTTCTGAGCCAAAGCATAGATGTACACTAGGTGACAGATGAGGGCAGCAAAGGACCCTCATGTTGCATGTCAAATGTCTGGAAAGAAAGCTGTAGTTTGAAGATTGTTCTTGCCGTATTTACTATACGTTCTTCTGCATCTTCCTTGGCCTGTCGCATTTAGTTGGCTATCTGTGCATAAGCTGAGCGGTGGGACGGATATGGACGGATCGTGCAAGGCGGGCAAAATCGCCGTCGAGAGGCGGAGAAACAAGAATCACAAATGGAAGCTCCCGACAGCTCACGCATGGTGCTTCGGTTGGCTTCCTGTGACTGTCCCTCCTTGGAAGGAGACACTGTACCGGTGAATTTGCCAGCTGCTGAAGTCGCCCGAGCAAATACCGATGTCCCGAGCCGTGGCGTGCTAACAGTCGGGTCAAGACTTTCTGTGTGGCGCTAACCCTCTTGAATGCTCAGGATGTTGAACGTGTCTTCCGTCGAGCTGTCAACCTCCGTGACGAAGATGACGATCACCGTGGATCGAAATGCAGATGCATATTGTGGCATCATTGATGCGCGATATCAGCTTCGCTCCCCGACTCACAATGAGCTAAAGCGGTGGGGTGCAGGCTTGCTGGACTTAGCAGGGGAAATGTATGTCTTCTACCTGATCGACGGTATCGAGTTCACATCTCGAGAGCTCGATGCACCCGTGCTCTATAGAGTTTCTGTCGAGGACGAGGAAGGCTGTGAAGCCCAATGCCTCCTTTACGATGAGTGCGTCGCCCTAGAGTACTACTCAGCAGGTATACACACGCAGACAGGCACCAACTGCAAACTCATCAACGGCACCTACAACTCTTCTTTTAGGCAGGACCCCTCTTTGCTGGCAAGCTTCATCCAAAAGTACAGAGTTTTGATTCGGCCGCCCCACACTCTGACCGTCAGTGGCTTGCTTTTCCCTGCTACGGTCTACAACGTTTACTGCTCCGTCGAAGATCCCGCGACCGGGAACCACTCCACATGGACGATGATCTCTACGCAAGTTTTTTCAGGCCGATCGGAAGGCTGCTTCGATTGCGGAAACACTTTGCCTCCCAGCATCTACGTTCGAGGTGGATGGGCTGGGACGGAAAGCATTGGCGTTGTGGTTGGTGCCAGTGCAACAGGCCGTCTGTTCTGCAGTGCTTTTGAGCAGAATGTCAGCTTTCCCCCCACCATCTCACCTGCAACGGTCCGGGCCCCAAACTATTTCGGCATTCTGACATCCACATCGAATTCGATTGCCATCACGATCGCAAATCTTCAGCCGACAACACCTCATATCGTGGCTTGCATGGCCGAGTCAGACACCGGGGCCGAGAGCACCCAAGGCCAAGTGGACCTTACAAGGCGCGAGATTTCCACCGAGGAAGTTCCCGTCACGATCAGCTCCATGAGAATCACGCGCGAGGCCGAATTACTTGGTGACACCATCTCAGTGCCTGGGTGAATTTTATTTTCTTTCTCCTTGCTGACACAAAGCCTGCCACGCAAAGGTGACGACTCAGCTGATAGACGTGGGGTATCTTTGGTGCGAACCTTGGCTCGGCTAAGCCCCCCTTTCTCGTGCATACCCCAGTCATATTCGAAGAACTTGGTGGATACGTTTAAGGGCCTTTGTCTTGATCTCAGAGCGGTCGGGCAAGTCCCAAATTTCCTGATTCCGAGGGAAACTTCCTGTCTGCGAATGCACGCCAACTTGGTGTGCCGGCGGCGGCTGTGCTGCAGGAAACGGCGGCAAGAACAAAGGCGGGTTGTGATGTGCACTGCTTCCTAGAATGCTCCCACGTTCCGCCCTGGCTGCGCATGCTTCCAAGAGCAGAGAGAGCAGCAGTTGAAGAGCTGAGATGAGCAGATGTTTCAATCTGCACCGGCCGTGTCAAGGTTTGTTGGAGCTGTGCCCAACTAATGGAAATTATTCTGGGACGTACCCGGGCAGGTAATCACCATCCAGGATGTGTCGGCCGTCTCGTTCCCCGAACTCGACCGGCATCTGGTCTGCTAATCTGGTGGCTCCAGCGATGGAGCCGGCGTAAAAGTGGTTGCATCTGAGTAGGTTCGCAGCCCAGGAACACATCGTACGAGGTCTGGTGCACTGCGGAGTTCAATGACTTTCAGAACGATGAGGGAGGGCAGGAGCAGAGTTGGGAAACTGTCGGCTTCAGAGTTGACGGGTTTGGTTTGCAGCTCTGTGATCTGCTCGAGAGGCTAAGTTATAGCCCCGCCTGGCAATGCTGAATTTCAACGTTCACGGAGCTTCGAGTCGGTCGTAAGTGATGCATGCTCTGCAGAATCTTGCTTCCTTTCAGGAGCTGCTGGTGCCTTTCCCCATCAGCACGGTCATGAGTATCACAACATCGTACTACACGGCTGCAGTCTCTCAGCCTGCGGTTCGTATGGCTTGAGCGTAGCAAGCCCCGAGCAGCCAAGATCCTGGTGCGCCTGAGCAAGGGGCCGGCGGACGTCTACTGCGAGGAACCTCTTGGGATCTGTCAAGCATGAAATCTGTGAAATTGAGCTGCTCTGGTGGCCTCCGCCTTGGAGTTTTGCCATGCTTTGTGAGATAGTGGCCGCCAGGCCATTCCCTGGGCACTTCGACCGACGACGCAGCGCCCGGCACAGCCTGCAAGGGCGCATCTCGGCCGAGCTTTAGGACCCGGGATGCGAAAGACCAACGCTGAAGTCGTGAGACTCACTGCTTGAGGCAACTCATGGCTTCGCCCTACCGGACCACATACTTTGAAGCCGAGCCTGGCGGTCTCGTCTCGATCACCATTCTCGAGCTCACGCCGGGCAGGAATTACGACGTGCCTCGACCGTTTAAGCTGTTTCAGTCTGAATCTTCTGGAGCCCAATCAGGCAGTCATAAGAGTCATAGGTCTGCACGACTGTCACCAAGCAAGGTATATTGTTACTCAGAGACGTATTTGCCGCCGTCAGAGACCGGTGTGGACACGGCACCGCGTTTCGGCATGGATGCCGAGTCCATCCTCAACACACGAACGAGGTTCATAACCGAAGGTCCCTTCTTCGATGACGCTGAGTCTGCATTTATGCCCTGTTGCTGCGCTAGGTGTGCAGGCCGAGATGTGCAGAAGTTGGCACCTGTCATTTTCCCAGCAAGGGACTGTGTGCCTGTGAGGATTTGGGCTGGTCCTGCGTGTCCGGATACACTTGTAATGTCACTGGTCTGCTGGGGCAGCGGCTGACGGCTGGAGACGGACTATTGGTGCGAGCAGACGGATGCCCGGAGAGGTGTCGATGCAACGGCGTAGCGGACCCACTGAGCAAGGGCGCTATGTGCTCGGAGATCTCGCAGGACCCAACAGTGCAGGCAGGGGTTGGCATCGCCGATGCACGTGATCCTTTGGGTGCCTGGTGCTATGTGGACCCGGGGCTATGCGATGACGAGATGGCCTCTGCAGTGTTTCCCGACCTCATGATTTCTTACGAAGTCTGCACGTACCGTATGCAGGCTGGAACGGGGGCTGGAGTCGCTGGCTTCCCAAATGGCGGCCTGGCCACAAACTTGCTGGATGGCGCAGCCTTCAGCTTCGGCGAAGACTTGGTGATTGCTTTCGGTGCCACCTACGACCTCTGCTGGTGCAACGGCACCGAGACGTCCTGTATCAGCGAGGCCGATTTTTCGGTGCGCATCGGACCTCTGCACTTCAGCGGGCCGACGGTACAACAGTCTGAAAGGGAAATCCGCTGTATCGCGGGGATGCCATGCCACATCCCAAACTTCCAGGGCCAAGCCATCGAGGAAGGTGCGTGCACACCGCATTTTCGATTTCTCTCCGATGTGAATGCTTGCAGAACATTGCAGGTTCTCGCCTTGTGGTGCTGCCTGACGATCCCGCCGGCTGCAGATGGCAGCGGGCCAGCCTGGCTGATCCGCCAGGCTTCGGGGTGTTTTAGAAGGTAGCCCGTTAGCCCCTGCACCCAAAAGATGGGTTTGAGGTCGGCATGGCATCTGCGCGCAGGGATCCTCTTGTTGCTGGAGTTGACCTGTTGACCTGTTCTAATCCTTGCCTTACCAGCCTTGCAAGTTGGCACTATAAGCCGACATCATGCATTGTTGTCGGGCGCAGTCTAGAATATGCGCACGCCGTGAAAGGCCTGTTGGATTTCCCCAACTCTGGCGTGTCAGATCCCTACGACAAGGCTGGGCTCAGCATGCGCAGAGCTTTGCAGGCTTGTTTCAGTGCGCTTCGAGGATCGTCGCCAGTACGATTTCATGGGCGTGCCGCTGATTGCTCCAGGGGGACGCTACAACTTATGCTGGTGTGGTCCACGAGCAGTAGGACTGTTTTGGGGCTCCATGTAAATTTCAAGCTGATGCGATTTAAACCCGCTGTGCAGGAACCATTTTGGTCCCTGGCAAAGACTACCGACAGCCAGACGGCATCATTCCACCACCTTGTCCACCCGTCCGAGACGAGGCAAGGCTCAGTTGTACTTTCAGACTGCGTCAGGACCTGATTTCCGAGTCAGGACGGTGGGAAGTTTCTTTCCCCAGCTGGACATCTCATAGTTGTGGGCCCGCGGGGACAGGCAGCTTGATTGTAAAGCGCAATGTTGATTACCACGTTCGGTTTGAAATTGTTATGACGGTGGTCCTGATCACGAGTGGAACCAAGTGGAACTAATAGTTGCTATCATCACCTGCCAGTGAGAGTGCGCCCCTTGTGCAGCTCAGGAAGACTCCTTATGCCGACTTGGGGTGGACTGTGACTTTGCCACAGGTTGACTAATCATTCAATGATTGCGGGGAGCCATGCGGGCTAGACTAGGTCTGATTCTACTACATACGCCGAGCGCCTGTGTTTGGATTCGATTGGATTCGAAGAGCATGTTGAATTGAGGCATCATCCCGCGGATTGTTGGCACAGGTTTACAAGGCCGTCAGCCTTACTAATGTCTGAATCTGGGTTTGGAGATTCTTGCAGCCAGCGCTTTGCCTGTGCTTAGTCCCTGGGCTTTCAAAGCAGGTGGAGACCGCGTGTTGGCGCTGAAGGTTTGTGGTGAAGCAGCCCACCCTCCAGTTGGCTGGCGTCAAGGCGACGACGACGAGTGAGTTTTGCAGACACGACGGTTGGTTTGATCAGCTGGCCGCAGTGGTAATCTGACTGCGATGCACCAGAGCAATATGCATGAATCAATAGCAGAATACTGAGCGAGTACGTTGGACGCACTTGCAAGGCGCGGAGACGCTCGGGCCACCCTGGATGAGTGCAGGGTGGATGACGCTGCTCGGCTTCATCTGAAAACTGGAAAGTCTGGGGGAGATGCGGGGAGCTTTGAGAGGCATGGGCCGGCTCTCTCGGAGTTGATGCTGACAGAGTTCGGCCCCCCGGATGGAAATTTGTTTGCCTAATCGCAGGGTGGCAGGGTGTCACAACCTGTTGTGCCGACATAGCTCCCAAGAAGTACAGGGAATTCAACACAAAGGAAGTGTTGAACGCCGCCTGTTTGCATAGGGTCCTTGGACGTTGCCCGACCTGCGCCAGGTGCACCCGGCGCTCCCAATCGGCCTGGCATGAATGACACGAATCGCGGTGTCTATGGCTTTCCCAACTTCGGCATGTCGCGACCGTCATCCAAGGCTTGTTGTCTATTCGCCCTTGCCTCCATAAAAGAGCCTGAAGCCTCGAGTGTCGAAAGCTGTGAAGGCTGGCTATGCAGACTGGGGCGGCCCGACGTGGTCCTTCGCAGGTGGATGTGCAGCATCAGTTTGCTGTGTGCACTGTACAATACTGTACAGCAAGCGCTTGTCCGTTAAATGATCTGCTCAGCAGTCAGCTCTTGGGATGTTGGGGCAGGGTTGGGTTTCACCTTATTCACCACAATTCAAGGAACGAAGGATGCATTGGGGGTTGTGGAGAGTCGTAAAGCTTCTGGATACAGGTTTCGATCGTCCATTCTTGCACTCCAGGCACCTACTTGCTGTGCTGGTGTGGTGCCGACTCCACTCTGCAAGGCCGAGCAGGGCGGGGGCCCCGGGCTGCAAAAGTCCAAAGAAGTGCAGCTCAGGTTGCCACTCGCCAGAAGTGCCCTGGCTTTTTCGAGAGCACCAGCCTTGGCCCCCATGTCTACCAAAGCACCACAGGACTTCCTGGTTCCGATCGGGCGGCTGATCATCTCGGGACCTGCGGTTCTTCCTTTGGCTGGACAGCGCTACCGCTGTGTTCGGATGCGGCAGTGCGAGATCGAGAATTTCCAAGGACGGGTCTCAGGAAGCTTGCATCATGCTTTGTGACATGGCAAAGATGGCCAGGTACCATGCCGCCGGCCTCGCAGCTCGCGGTCGCGTCAGGAGAATGCGGAACCGAAAGCCCTGTAGGCCGGGTGCTGTCTCCAGAAATGCATGTTGTTGGTGTTGGGACGGGACACAGAATTCCCACGCAGCTCTGGACAAGCACGCAGCCGTGGTTATCCTTTTGCAAGGGCACGACATGTGGTGTCGGTACCGATGCACATTGGCGGAACAGTGATGTCCTTACGATTCAAGTCGATACTTCGGTTGTAAAAGTTTCAGCGATGCCCTGGTGTGAAGGCATGCCTCGCTATGGGCAGTCGATTCCTTCAGCAGATGGCTCCCACTTTGTATGGGGCCCGGAGCCATGGCTGAGCCTAGAGTCATCTCGGCCCAGGGCAAGAGAAGATTGCACATGAGTACACTGTAGCTTGCGGCGGTTGTGGAAAGGACCTTCTGTTCCGTTCAAACTCAGTTCTGACACCGAGCGAGGAGCGTGTGACGGCAAACCCCGGCGTCTATCGACTCTGCTGGTGCAGCGAAGGGCAGAACTGCATCCTTCCGACGCATTTTATGGCCTATGCAGGAATCTTGCAGGTGGGTCGGGTTCAAGAGCATCTTGAGACTTTAGAATCGAAGACCGCTAGTGCTTTTGTGCAGGTGAAATGGCCAACGTTCTCGCCGGACCTCTTCTTCTGCGAACTCGGGCGCCTTTGCAACATCTCGGGGGTCCAAGGCGAAGGCCTCAGCAATAACGACAAGGTGATGTTGCTGACCAAGTGCGGCGAGGGGCTCGAGGAGGCTACGACATTCATGGAAGGCTCGATGTCCATCGCAACGTACGAGGACGGCGGGAAGTTCCTCCTGCCCGCATCGGTGCAGTCTGGTACGTACCTGGTTTGCTGGTGCGCAGCCGAGAACACATGCCAGTATCCACGGGACTTCACCGTGCGGCTGGGTCGCTTGGAGCTTGGCGGCCCAGTCCCAGACTTTGTCTACCGCTGCTTCGAGTGGCAACCCTGCGAGATCCGGGACCTGGAGGGCACAACCCTGCAGGATGGGGACAGGCTCTTGGCAGCTTCTTGACTCAAATTTGCTTCCTTTATCTGCTATTGCCTTTTCAGCTGGTTAAGGTCCCAGATGGCACCGACTGCAAAGCTGCTAGTCTGACGCCTCAAACGGGCTTCCCCCGCAACGGCGTGACCCTGCCAGCCGTCCGGATGCACCTCTTGGTTGAGGAGTTGTCCAAGAAAAGTGCCAGCAACAAGCGGCTAGGGTTTGATAGCAACGACAGCAGGGTTCTCCCAGCCGCTCCGAAACCCAGTCCCTTGTCATCAGCGCCGAATCTCAGGCGACCAATGGAGGTCGCTCCTTCTCCTGGGGCCCGGGTCTGATGCGTGCAGCCCCGGGACACTACATGCTATGCTCCTCCGGCGAGACGGGGTTCAGGGCCCTCGAGTCTGGGTGCTTCTCGAGGGCAAATCTAGAGATTGCTTGCTTGAGGCTGGTGTGGCAACGTCACTGCCGGAAGCTGTGGCGAGGATGGGCCATTCACTGTTCCTGCTGGCGTCATCCGCGTGGCCACGAGCCGCGAGCCGAGAGCTCAGCGGGGAAGAGAAGGGCCGACAAAGGCTTGGATCTCTTTACTTTTCATTTTTCAGCCGAAGAGGTTTCAGTTCGTGAACCGGCCAGAGGACGGCGGCGTTCGTTGCAAAAATCGCTCACTCTGATGTGCCTTCTGCCACGACTGCGCCAGGAGAACCCGGAACGGAGCTGGGACTCCGAGCTGAGTCTGCTACTGGCCGTGCCGCTGCCAGCTCTATTCTTCGGGGCTGCACCTGGGCTATTGACGAGACTGTTGTGAGGGGGAGAGTCTCACGAGCACACGCCGAGATCTGCCTCGGCGTGTCAAGGGTACGGGGCAGGAGGCATGGCTGGTGGAGTGAGAACTCATGGCAGTTACGTTACATAACGGTCATGGAATGGTTTGGCCCCTGAGAGGCAGGTGCGCGACGAGCCCGAGGCCCCGCCGGTCGACATGTCGCGGCCAAACCCTACGGTGGACGAGGACCGAGCTGATTGTCAGCTGACGAAACTCAGTTTTCCCGAGTGCAATAAAGGGGTGCCTTTTGGAAAATGTTCTTGACTCCAGCACTGGCCGGATTGGTATCGGCGAGCAAAGGTTACCTAATCCGTTGTGGATGTTTGCATGCTGCAGGCTCGCATGAAGAGCATGCTGGCATTGGATGCAAAGGTGCGGCGAGGGTAGTCGGAGTTTCCAGACTGTGACTGGTACCGTCTGTGCCACTGGAGATGCAGTAACTGCCGTAAGAGGGTGCGTGGATGCTGACTCCCTTCGGTTGCAGTGATGACAGTGCTCTTTTGGAGCATGCTGCGAGGCAGTATCGAATCGAGTGCCAACGAAGTCTTAATTACGGTTTGTCTTTGGGAGCCAACTCGCAGCCAGTCGTAGTCGCAAGACAATCAATGATTTGGTTGTGTTGCGTTAGTTATGCTCTGTTCTCAAGCTTTCGGTCCCATCTGTCCGCACCACTTTCGCGCTATTTTCGCAGTTGTCATTGGGACAGGAAGTGGCAGACAGCAGGAATGACATCGGCAAGCTCCTGGAGAAGTCGCGACAGCACCTTCGAAAAATGCGGTATCCTCCCTGCCTGTCTCTCCCCCTCTCTTTCTCTGTCACTTCTTTGTCGCGCCACAGGCGCTCAATCATTCAAATGCGATCCCTTTCTCTGGGTGGCCAAATTGGCTTCAAAATGATTACCCTCGCTCCAGGCATGTCGACCAAAAGCACTCCCTGCTTGCTCTGTGCCGCAGCTGCACAGGGCACCGAGACACTTTCTTCGTCCGATCAACGAAGGTTTTTTCTTGCTGGGCATTGCTGGGTTGAGTACATCTTCCGAAATTTGAGTTCGTGATATTCTGTTGGCTGGGGGTAATCAGATGTCTAGTGCCAGGACATCAGCGCAGTAGCCAAGAACTCACAACAGATCCGAGCAAAATCACCAGCTGCGGAAGAACGGTCGATAAGAAGGCAGAGTACTTTGCGGTTGGGATTGGTTGGCCCGTGTGTCTGAAAACCCCTCCTTCAAGCCGAGAGAAGAAGGTGGCAAGAGAGCCACACCCCTCACCTCATGCCGAGCGACAAACAGCGTGAGGGAGCGAGGGAAAAGATAGGTTACGCCTAGGAGCCGCAGTCCTCTGGCCACAGGACTTGGGCGCGCCTGGAAGCCGGGGCGTAGGCTAATTTGCTTGCCGTTCGAACAGCCAGCCCGAAAAAGGGCTCGGATGTGGAGGGCGAGAAGACTGTTCTCGTTCTCGTGACGGGAAGAAGAGCCCCCGAGGGAAGAAGAAGCGAAGATTAAGAAAAACAAAAACAAGAAGAGAAAAGAGAAGACGAAGATACCATGAAATACGATAGCTCCACATGACCCGACGTGGCGGAGTTAACAGACCACATCTGCCCGATGTGGTGGGGCCAGGACAGAGCGCGGGGGCAACCCCTCAAGCCCCAAGAAAACAGGAAAGAGACGCACAAACACCCTACACGGATGAAGGGGCTGGTTGAACCCAACCCCAAAACCCAGTTTTGAACCCAAGTTAAACCTGGGTTCGAACCCAGGTTGAACCTTGTGTGGCCAGCTACAGTGGCAGGAAGGGGGCATGTTGTTCGACAGGGGTAGAGCAATCAATATACGCTCCCGAAGAAGAAAAGACAAGCATGGATGGTTAAGACTTTGAGAGAGGGGCTCGGCGAATGACTCGAGGAGAATGTTGGATCTCGGTCTGAATGCGCACGGTAGGTTTCATCGGTATTCGCACATGCGCCCTGCCACGTTTTCCAGGTATGGCCTGTACCGGCGAAATGACGAGGCCAGTGCGCCCCAGGAGATGAAACTGGTGCTGGTCCTTTCCTGCTCAGGCAACCAACGAGAAGGCCAATGCACAGAAAAAGGCAGAAAAAGCAGCCGCACCGAAGCCCAAGAAGCTGGATGCCTGCCTTTGACGAGAATGCCTATTGGTGTCTGCAGTTTCGTAATCGAGTGGGAAAGTTGCATGAAGGTTAAACACGACTGAGACTGTGCCGGCGATTGCAACAGATGGTGGCCAAAGATTTCGAGATCAGGAGTTGGTAGTTAGTTAGCTCGGGAAGCTGTGCCGAGGAACGGCAAGGAACAGGATGCTTAGCTGAATGGGGCAGACCTTGGATGGTAGAGCAAAGGTTGCATCCAGCTGGCTCCTGCAAGGACTCAGCAGAAGTTCGGCTAACAGCTCTTACCCGAGTTCAACGCAGCATTGGCTGCAAGAGATGCGCATGCCACAGCGGAACTCAGTTGGCATGTGGCATGGCTCGGCGAATCGTGTAATCGTGTAGGCTGCATCTGCTGCATCCATGATTCCATACTCCACCATGTCAACAGCCCCTCTGAAAAGCTCAAATGCGAGCAACCCCCTGTGCGACGCCAGTTGCCACCAAGGGGGATCCGTTCTGAAGTAAGCGAGTTTTCCTTGCGCTCGTCGGCAACTTCCAAGTGTCTTGACGGCAACCCTTGAAGTGGCACGAATTCTCTAGCCATACAGCAGGTCATGATCGTAAGTGTCCTGCGAAAGCCAATCTGACGGGACAGCATGAAGAGCTCAGCGCTCTCGACTGCTCTCCGTTTCTCCATGTTGTTCTTGTATATGAAATCACCCTAGTGTCGCAGTGTTTTCGGGGAGCATTTGGCCCGGAAGGCACTCCAAGGGACACGAAGGATCGCCCAGGTGTAGAGGGTTGGGGACCTGTAGCTAAAACTAATTACTTAATCACTTACTTGCATGTAGCGTACGCTGCGAAGTTATGAGCTCCGGCAAGCTGGTGCGACTCATGTTTTTGGTCATACTGATTGCATGCATTCTTGCTAAAAGCTGATGACAGTGGCTGACTGGGACAGAGGAAGTTCTCCCTTGCCTTGGACATTGCATGCATGTAGCTTCTTCGGTGATTGCATATATTCGAGGCAAAGTGGCTCACGCTTTACAGTTCAAGAGTGCATTGCGGTACGGTGGTTTGGGTCCTTGCATGCTCCCTGCTGCTTACTTCAAAGCAAATAGCTTATGCTTTACAGCTGAAGAGTACCCGGTGGACTGGGCCCTTGCATTCTGCATGCTTCTCACATTTTCTGTAAGGCATCTGGAGAGTCTTTATTGCATGTTGCACAAGTCTATTCTGGAATTCACTACTGCTTGTGTGATTTTCAGCAAGACACCGATGCTGATGGATCAATTTTGGTCTTCTTTGCCTGGGCATTCCTTACATTATTGCACGCTCGCCTTTCCGCGGCCTGCCAGTAGTTTCTCTGCGCTCTTGTACTCTTGAGGAGGTTTAACAGGTTTCGCTCACGGGCTGAACCAGCGCCTGGTTTGCGAGTCGTAAGTCGGTTGCGTATGACTGGGACTGCTGTCATGCGGCACTCTGTTCCTTGTCATTCCCATCTTCCCGAGGCAGCCGGTCAGTCAGGTGCCATTGCCTCCTCGCCTCAATGCAGCAGACTTTCGTACACCAGCGATCGCTGCTGCGGCGGGCCTCCCGGCTGCAGTGCCGTGTAGAGTGTAGGCTGCGGTGTAAAGGAGATTTTGAGTTTGCGTCCCATCAATCGAATCTGTACTATCTGCATGAAGTGGTGGGTAAACTGCCCAGGCCCGGAATTTTCGGGATTCATGCTCCGCAGTCCGTGAACTTGAGCCAAGGCCTAGATCTATCTGTCGAGGATGCATGATGCTGAGGCCAACCAGGCTCGCAGTCAGTTTTGAGCTGCTGTTTTCAACTTGTGCAGAACCTGAGCCGGTGTAGATGCGAAGGTCGCCAAACCCAGTGAGGGATCAACTTTTTGCTGCACTGGCCCGTGAAGGGTGCTAGTGCGACGGTGCAGTCCGGGCTCCAGGAGACTAATGGCTGGATAGCAGGAGTACGACGCTTGAGCTTTCTCGCCGTCGATCTCATTTTCACAAGCGTATGCAATGAAGAGTGACATGCAACATGCGTTTCAGAGAAAATGTGGAGCATCGCTATCGTGCTTGGAAGTCTACTGGCCGGGCCACTCACTCAATTTTGTTCCGCAGTCCCAAGTGCCTCATGAAAAGAGCCGATAGGCAGTCTATGCCAGACGAAGAGCTGCAGACTCCGAATTTCTTGACTTGGGGCACATGGTTCCGTGAATTTCTGCAAGCTTCTAGATGATCCAAAATCGTGAGAGCATTCGCGCTGGCCACGGCCGTGCAGGATCACACTAGCATTTTCACCACCCTCTTTCGGTGGTGTGCAACACCGCAGTGTCCTGCCCGAAGGGCAGGCCATGCGGCTCTAGGTTAGTCTTTGAGGCAAGATCCCTTGTGCCATGATGAGGAGCTTCCAACCATGCGAGTACATGCAGGGGCCTGGGGTTCTCAGCTGAACGCGGCAGAGATCAATGCGTGAGTTTTCGCTCAGCTGGATATGCGGAGCAGATCTCAGCAGGAGCGCAACGGACAGAGATGCAAATGCGGTACAGCAGTTTCTGCACCAGGAAATGCAAGTTCAGTCATTATGTGCTGCATCAGGTGGCATAGGCCATGTCGGTTACGACTTACATGGATCAGATCCCTGTGTCCAGGAACAGGAGAGGTTCCTTCAGGTGGCATGCCCTACGAGAACTTGTGGCTTTGGGGCAGCCAGGAGATGCCTGGCTCTGCAGAGATGGACACACACGCACACGCATAGCGTAGACGCTGTGTGCAAAGGTGCTTATCCTCTTTCCTGACCTGCTTATATAAGCCGTGTCGGAGCCGAGGATCGCATCTGTGGGTGATCGAACCGAGCTGGACACAGCAGTCGGCAGCAATGCAAGCCAATGTTCAAGTTGAGATTCAGATAATTAACACTTGCCAGTCCGACAGTATATCTATCGTGTCAGCTAGACTAGTCGCCAAGTAACGGGAGGAGGTATAAAGCTAGAATAATTGGCCGGTAGCAGCTATAGCAATGTGTATACATGGTTCTTGCGTGTGTCATACGGTACCGTCTAAGCTGTTGCTTCGGAATGGTGGCTGCGATTTCAGCTATAGTGGAGAGCAATCTCCTGATTCAACCTGTCGATCTCGGCAGGAAATAATGATGGAAGATGATGGGACAGTGCAGACGGTAGACAAAGGTGGGAACTGCGCCATGCTCAGCTGATCAACGGAAGTTGGCAGATGTGACGGCTGGTTGTTGCCGGACAGTGCAGGCTTGACAGGGGGATGCGTCGATCTAGACACAGCTTGTCACAAGCTTCATTGAGGCTGGCTCGCAGTGCCTCTAAAGACTGGAGTCCGCAATCGGACCGTCGCCGCCTTAGAACCGCAGGCCGATCATTCCCTCGTTTTGATTGATTCTTTGAGGTCCGAAGTGTGGCCATGGGCTACGAGCACTGCCTCATCGTGACTGCAGACTCCCTGCCTGAGCTCTCAGAAACGATGTAACTTGGGGAACTGGGCGCAGTGCCTTACTGGAGCTGGTGCACTCGGGCTTTGCCTCGCCAGGCCCCTTCTCGGATTCCGTCTGATCGTGACAGCTTGACTTGCTGAGGATGTACTCCTGGGGCAACGGTTCCAAAGGGCAGCTGGGCACCGGGTCCATGATGGTGCAGCCCCTCTCTTCCCATGAAGCAGTTGCGAAGTGACAGAATGAATGGCGCTTTTGCGTTTGCAGCCTGCGACCCACAAAGTCTTCTCCTAAACTCATGCACCGGCATAGGCAGGTCTGTCACTCTGTGAATTTAGGGGGAATGCGTGACTGCTGGTACAAGCTGTGCAGAGCATGTTCTCGAGCTGGCTTGCCCATCTGGAGCAGTTTTCGACCCTGCGCAGCCTGCCGACACGCCGCAGTTCATCACTAATCCAACCGACGTTCTCCATGTGGCAGCGGGGGAGGAGCGGTGTTGGCTAGACAGTCTGAAGCTTGAGCTTGCTTTGTGTGGTGACCTGCCTGCCGAGGAGCATTCTGCTTGCCTCATTGAAGGCGCAGAGCCAGCTTTCTGAAGCACGCGGTGGCAAACATGGCAACTTTTGGAGCAGCTCGTTCAGCAGAGGCGGGGCCTGCTTCACCTGGGGCAACGCCGCTGGCGGGCGACTGGGCCTGGGCTCCTGCCTGAGCGATGGCGTCGACTCCCCAGCTGTGAGGCTGTAAGCTGATGGCAAGACTGCAGACATGATGTATCTGATTTAGTTGTGCCGACGCTCACGCAGCAAGGAGCAGTTGATCCCGAAGCGTGTGGTTATTGAAGCCACAGAGGTGGGCTTGGCCGCGGGTTGAGACTCCACGACTTTTGGTGAGGGTTCCCAAACCTGCCGAATTCTTGTCACAGTCCTCTTGGAGCAATAAGCCGCACACCTTCGAATGCTCGGCCTCTTCAGTAAACTCTTTTGGTTGGTGGCTGACCGAAGTTAGGGCAAAATGTGCGAAAAGTGGTTCTCTCCGGCATTTGTTAAATGTGCCAAGGCTAGTAACCGAAGAAGGAGCGCGCTTTTTGCAAGCCCCCACAGTCACAAGCACTGGTTAAGCCACAGGCCGTGATGAACGATTCCTTTCAAGCTTGTTTTTTTGGTTTCGTTCCGCTGCAGCCGATATGGCTCGGCTGGCAGCCGGCAAGATGCTTGCCTCCCGTTCTGCCGCCTGAGCTCTACCTCGAGGCGCGCGACTGTTGGACGGGTCCGGGGGTGGTCAGGGCGTCCCACACGTGTACTTTCCGCGTGCCGTTTTTCCTGGCAGACTGTAGACTGATGGTGTCAGCCCCCACGCAGTGAAACGAAGTCCAAGTCCCGCGAGCGGCTCACAAGCTTACGAAGCCGGAATCCTTGAACTCCATCCGCCAGGTTGTGTTGGGCCAGACGGCAAAATGGTGAGGCAGCATGAGTTGCAAGAAGCCGTAGCGTGCAACGAGCCAGATTAGCTTGAGTGGCTTCATGGAGCGAAGCTTGCTGCAGCTAGCTGTCATGGGTCATTGGATTATTGGAGCTTTGGGCTATGCCGGGGACACAGGCGTGCAGAATCAGCCTTGCTGCTCCGAGATACTACTACCCGCATGAATCCGCCTTGCGCTCACTGCTGCGATGGCACTATACCTTGACGTGACTCGGCTTGATGGGGCGAGGCTTGTCCTGCAGTCTCCAGCAAGGATGTGCTTAGGTCGAGTGTCTTCAGCATGGCCGAGTTCTGGCTATACTTGACGGCAGCAGGGGGGGTTCGGCTCCCGGCTTCAGTCCGCTGTGGGCTCATTCTCCGGGCATGTTGCCGGACTGTACAGGTCATGTTTCTCATGGACACGGGCTACGTCCACTTGCCTGCAGGACCGCTTTCGGCCATGCATGCTTACACGGCCGGCTTTCTGTGTACTAAATGACCAGCCTAGCAGCCGCTGCGCTGCTATGCTGGTAGCTTCTCCACAGGCGTAGCTGGCCTCGACGTCTTCAAGCTCCTCAGCCCTCAGCTGTCAATTACCATCTTCGCACCTGGTCTCAGAGAATTCCTCCGAGCTATCATGCTGCCGTAAAGACGGGGCATCACAGTTGCTTTTGGCTTCGGATGCGAATGAGAAGAAGAGTCGACTGCTTGAGGCAGTAGTCTTCTACAACAACCAGTGCTATTCGCGGTACATGAGCATCTCGGCGTTCGATTTAAAGTTCGGATGCCCCTAAAGCCTTGACCTAGTCTATTATATGTTTCCTCTCTTGACCTTCAGGCCCGAGGGTGTTCTGGATTCTGGACTTTTGCTTTGCGTCGCTTTGAAGGCTCTGACAGGCGCCCGGCGTGACATTTTCAGCCCTTGCACCGCGAAAGCTTTGGCACACACTGTCAACGCCACACCTGCGCTGACACCTGTCCAATTTACCCCTGTTGACTGACTTGTACCATTAAAGTGTGTGTCAGGCTGGCATGGTGGGGGGGGGGGGGTTGGGGCGGGGGCGGGTGCGAGGGTGTCTGCAGTGAGCCCATGATGGTCAAAGGCGGCTATGTTGCCTTCCGGCTCAGGGCGCCTAGCATAAGTCTAGCATGCACGCCTGAGACCCTGCAGGGGGGATGAGGTCATGCGGCAGTGTTTTTGAAAAGACTGGGTTGGACCATGATGCTCAGGTCCTGATATACACCGCTACAGTATATACAGTAAGACAAAAAATCAGTCTGGTAGCATAATTCCGTGTAATCCACAGAAAACCTGCATCTTCATACATGTTGCCTACCTTCCCTATTGTTCATCATGATGCATTGCATCAGGTTTCTCTGTACAATCGGACCTCCAGAACAAAAAAACGTAGAAAGCTGCTACGACGATTATCTGTGGCTTTGTCCAGATGTGCAGCATAGTGCCAAAGCTGTGCTCGAGAAGCTCATGCATCTCAGGTTTGTATCAGACATGCGTGGTGCGCCACCGAGCATGCAATCGCCTGTGCATTCGGCTGTGTTGGAAGGTAGCAGCATGATGCAGTGTGGGGCCATGATCTTCGCCGAGCATACAGTAGACGGAAGCCTTGGGCACCGAGTTTCACGACCGAGGAGATCGATGTGAGTGCCAAGCAATTTGTGTCAGAGCTGGTGATCCACTTCGGTGACGAGCCACAGCTTGCAAACCACATTGTGCAAGCAAGCAAGCACCTTGGTCTCCAAAGCGACGCCACGCAAGAAACGGGTTGATTGAGAGCTGCGGAAAGGATGCTCTTGCGTCCATTCCAGCTAGGAGCCGGTGTTCACACAAAGGTCTTGGAGCATGGGGCTTCAGTTCTCAACCACAGGTATGCCATGGCTGGGATCTTCTATTTCTACTTGTCCATGGAGGACATTGAGCCCATGTCCTTGGGCCGCAAGAAGCTCTGACAGATTTCCTTCACACACAGCAAACTCGGCAAGACAAGGACAGACACCTGGCGAGTACTCCAATCAAAAGGCTTGCTGACGCAGGCCGACGAGGACATGGTCAACGGCCCTTTGAAGTCTTTTGTGCAGGTTTTGTCCATAAATCCACAGCACAGGACGCCGTTCGCGAGTTTCCTGGGACGATTTTTACGCTTCTGCTCCATTGGTCCAGCTACATCGTCAAGGACGCGGTCAGGATCCTTCGGGCCGCTTGGACGTCAGGCATACTCCGACAAATTTCGCATACTGACAGTGTCTTGTATTACTTGTATTGTACTTGTATTTGCTGTTGGCAGGTAAGAGGAAAATGGCAACACGATATGAAGACAACTGTTCGTTTATGCAAGTCTTTGTCTGTCTGCGCCTCTCCTCAATCGTGTCTGCCAGCCCAATGCGGGGGCGAAGACCTACACTCCCCCGGAGCTGTCGGCAATGTCGAATCGTCGCCTGGCAGAAAACGGGTGAAATGGGGCGTCTCGATTTGGTCTTCTGGAAAGAAAGACCCTTCGCCTACAGGTATGTACAACATGATCGACAACATGGCTTCTTCGGCTCTTCGGGTCAGGACATCTCCGCTCGTGTGCCAGGAGGATCACCGACTTCGCTGGCCATCTGCAGGAGCATACAGAACATGCCGGTCCCGTTCTCGTATTTCCATCTCCTCAACATTCTGATCTCCTTAACCGTCTTTGCTACAGGCATCCGGCCGTCAGGGTCGGGGTTGGGAAATGCAGTACTGTACTGCAAAGTCCAGTTGAGGGCCTTGGTTTTATGCTTCGACAAGCATGCGGGGATCTTGGAGTGGGGGTTTGTACCTTGCAAGCATGGTTGCAATTGATGCAGCAGCAGCAGCAGCGGCAGCTTCATGTAAGAGTTTTGAGTTCCCTGAACAGGCATCGGATGCTTGATCCTCGTAGAGGCACACGACGCACCTTCCTACTGCCTGGCCTTCCTCCCGCCGCTTGGACGAGCCTAAGTCTAATTTTGCCTTGAGTCGACGGGGCCTCACGTGCTGAGCAGGTATTCAGTGGTAACCTTCGTTCTGCTCGCTCTCCGCCAGCTTTCAGGTGCGGCAGGTAATGACGGTAAGCACACAGGCGGCAAATTGCAGCTGCTGCCAGGAGAACTGGCAGATCCGTTTGGCAAGGCCAGCAGGGTGTGCAAGGATATTCAGGTCAATGGCAGCAGGTGCCCAAGGTCTCAGGAGGAAAGAAGCTGGCCTTACTAGCGGATGCTTGCACAGGACGACCTCGACTTTCCTATTGCCGAGCCTTGGTGATGCAGGTTAAGCCAGCTGCGGGTGACTCCTCCGCTCGAGCACGAACTGCAAAAATCATCGTTTCGCGAAGCTGAATCCTCTCCCAGGACTTCATGCGACATATCTACGACAATGTCGTGCCTTGGTTTTGAAGTTGCAACAAGGAGGAAATTGTGTATACCCGGCGGTAGCTAATCAGCTAATCGAAGTCGGTCAGCCTTGCTTTTTGCCTAGGTGGCACTACAAACCTTCTCGCGCCACCAAACTTGCCCTGGTGCAGCTGCTGAAAGTCTGGGAGCCTGCCGCTTGTCTGAACTTCTGACACCTCCGAGTCCTTGCGCCGTACACTTCGACGGGAAATTCTCCAGAGATCGGGAGACAGAGCGCAATGAGAGAGAGAGAGAGAGAGATCTGTGTGCAAGGCTTCAGTGGCTTCAGGGCGGGGGGAGGTAGAGGGGAGAGTTATTTGTTTTTTCATTTGTTTTTTCTTCGCTTTTTTTTGCCCCCCGACCCTCTGGTCCTCTGCTCCTTGGGTCCTTTGGTCCTGTGGGTTTTCAAGGGTTGTCAAAGGGTTTTCGAGGATTTCAAGAGGCTTTCTGATGGTTTGAGGAAGCTGTACGACGATTTTAGAATGTTTTTAGAATGCGTTTTACAGGGTTTGAGATGGTTTTCAACGATTTTGGAGTTGAAGAGTTTCAGCGGTTTTGCAAGGGTTTTGGCTTTGCTTTAGAGGGTTTGAAAGGGTGGCTTTTTAAGGGTGTTGCACGCTTTTGGCTCGACTTTTGCCGTGGCTTTCGGCACTCTGAGGCCTCGCACCGGCGACCTTGAATGTGCAAAGCTGTAAGTTGGCTGTGGTAGCTCAAGTCCAGAGCCCAACATTCCGTCCAGCTGCCAGCTCCCCATGCTTTTGGCGTATGCTTCACTCTCGTGTCAGCCTGGTGGAGTATGGCGGAGTGATGTCGTGCAATTGCCGTGCTGAACTTCACTCGGCCTGCGTTGCTGTCATCCTCGCTTGAGTTCACGATTCAGCGTTGCGGCACGGCGGCCACCCCAAGCCCGATATAACAGAGGCTGGAAGAGCGAGACTCACTCGTGTACACCACGCAGGAGGCAACATATCCACACAGGCGTCGATAACAGCCTAGACTGGCACACTGACTTGATGCTCGCTTTCTTGAACGGTGTGGCATTGCAACTGCACTGCCGAGGTGACTTCTTCAGCCCTGGTCAGATTCGACACCCCTGCCAGGATCAAAAATCAGAGCGCAAGGAAAAGTGTCTGGACAGCAACCAGTATGGGAGTGTCCGATATGCGAGGCTTGCGGGAGATAGGACTTGCACCTCCTGCAGTGCTCAGATGTGCTCAGCTCCTGTGCAGAACTACAGAGGACATCCTGGTTTGCCAGTATGCTGCCCGCACAACGGCGAAGCCGCAGATCGATGGCTTTCAAGTGCGCCGCAGAATGTCAGCATGTTGCACGCTCCAGTGTTTTTTTCCGCCTAGCAGGCCAAATTTGCACACCTGCACCGCACTCGTCGCAGGCTGCTGCCTGAAGAGGAAGCAGCAGCGTATGGCCCGAGCAGCTTGGATGCTTGTGCGTGGCTTTCGAATAACAGGCGTAACAGGAATGCGAGGCAGACTTTAAGGTAAATGGCAGGCATTCAGCAAGTTTGTAACATACTTGTGCGGAAGGGATTGTAGTAGCTCCGACCCTGGCCTGCCAGGAAACTGGGTCACACCGGAAGCCCCTTCAGCTGCAATCGACGTGCAATTTTCGGGGCCTGGAGCATATGCGCTTGCTTCTCGAAGCTGTTGCGCTGGCAGGCAGAACCATGAGCAGGCGAGGGCATCTAGCTGCATCCGAGGACTTGAAAGGTGGAGAGCGGTTGGCGAAATGGTCCGAGCGCACCTCGACATCGTGAATAATGCTTTTTCGGTATGGTTCCTATCATTCCTTTGTACTCAGGTCTTCTTCAAGACGGCAACGAAAAGCAGGGCTTGAGCCCGTCGGCCGTGCAGCTTGAGACGAAGGCTGGTGGTCCCAAGGCCAGGTGCCTCTGGATCCCGAAGCCCTTAACTCAATGGCAGACTCGCGCTAATTGCTCAAACCGAAGCTGAGTACAGCTTGGCAGCCGTGCCTGCCCTGCCGGCGACAGTCCATGGTCAAGCACAAGTGGAACCGTGCAACATGCTGAAAAGGGAATTTCGTGACATTCATGGAAATTCGTGTCTCCTCAGCCTTGCTTGGCCTGCAGTGACAGGCTCAGCTGGTGGGCTTGCCGGCGGAGAGCACGACAGTTCCAAAGGAGAAGAAGGAGGAAGTCAAGGATTCAAGACCTGAAGACCCTTCGGCACGAGCCTATGAGTCCTGTCTCTTGGGAGCACAGGACCAGGGTCCAAAGCCTGCTGCGAGCCCGACGGCTCTGCAGGCCTCTGCTGCGCCATGTGCATGTTTCTAGCAGCTGGGACCGGAGCGGATCGTACCGCGGAGGATGCGAACTGCATCGATGCGCTCGGGCGCATCGAGGGGAGGATGGGGGAGCTGCTCGCGTGCATGACTGAGCTGGCCGGGAACCTCAAGGAGCCGAGCATGCCGAGCGCGCCCGAGCGCCACGGAGAGCGGCTGAGCGGAGTGTTTCCGCCTGTGTGCAGGACCTGGCGCAGAGCCCGCAGAGCGATGTGAAGAAAAAGGCCACCCGGCCCAGAGTTTTGCCAGCTTGGCGAGGGGGCGAATTCGTGTCGTCGTGTCGAGTCAAAAGGGGGTGACTGCAGGATGCGCCACGCACAACGACGGCCGTCAAAACGAAGGCAGGGGAACAGAAGAAGACGAGGGGATGTTTGGGCAAGGAGTGGCATCATCGGGACACGTTTTTCTTTGCAGCTTCATTCGACTTCCGTGGGCTTTGCATGTCATCCAACGGAGCTGAGGCCAAGAAGGAATCAAGCGCGCCTGCGGCCCAAGCGACCGCAGGGGAAAATCTCCATCAGGATCTTTGGCGGCACCTGCCTTTAAAAAAGCCATCTACATGGCTCCAGTCTTTGTATCAGGGAGGGCCTCACGATCTTGCCTGTCTGCACTTCACTGCAGGAGACCTGATCGGGCAGTGCCGGTGCGCATTCGCCCAACTCGAGGGTGGGGCTCTGGGATGTGAGCCCAGAAAGAAGCAAAGACTGCGCATGTGGGATGATATTGGTTGAGGGTGCAAAATAGCAACAAGGCTTGGGTGGCATGATTGGTTGCCGGGCGTGGGACTTGCTTGCGGCACTGCTGAGGCAGCAAGCGATCGCTTCCTACCGCTTACACTCGCCTGCAGCCTCTAGCCTCACATGAGCAGGTTCTTCTTCTATTCTTTTAGGAGGGAAGCCGCGATTTTCCAGCCTGCACGCGATTGATTATCAGAGTCACGCTGCCTCAGCCAAGCCCCAGCCGAGAAGCCACGATTGAAGGACGGCTTCGCGAAAGCACCGCCTCACCTCTCGTGCAGCTGTAGATTCAGGAAGGTTTGGTTCTCGTGCCCTGCCTTGGGCTTCTTGGACCCAAGTTCCGCAAAGGTCAGCTTGCGGTGTTATGGCGTGTAATGTCTGAGCTAGTTAGCAGCTAATTGAGATCTTTATGCAGTGAAGACAGTCAAGACTGTAACATTTGAATTGGCATGTTGCGGCATAGGCATAGACGAGGGATGACGAGGGGTTAAGAGACACATCCTTGATGTTTGTTGTGGCGATGCTGCTTCAGACTTGCAACGAGCCGAGATTCTGAAAGTGTCTTGCCGCAGACTGCTGACTGCAGCCGATTCCTTGAAGAGGATGTGCTACTTTGGTTTATGCGATTATAAATGCGCGGTTTCTCGAAAGTGCCCGTTCCGACCTTTACCATGTCAATGTGACCATGTGAACAGAATCGAAGAGACCGGTGGGCCTTGATTTGAGAAGCCGGCATCCTGGCAGCCTCGAAGCTCCGTGCCCTCTTGGCCAAGTTCGGAAACGGAATGCATGCAAGGGCGAGGGGTTTAAATCCTTGTTCTTTGCAACAGCAAAGCTAAAGAACGGTGGCCAGGAAAGCTCTGCAGAAGATGCCAGATTTCAGCTTAATGCACTTCGCAGACTTGCGCATGCATGTAGTGCCCTAAAGGGGCAAGACGATGTGCATGCAGCAGGCTGTTGAGCTGGAGCCCTGCACCTGGGTGGAGTTGAAAGTCGGTGAGTGATTCAGCAGAGTCGAATGAAAGTAAGGCAGAAAGGCAGCATTGGGTGATTCGCTCAATCCATAAACAAGCTAGGGCTGCTCCTATCGGAGATGTTGCGGCTGGATGCCTGTACAGTACCTCCAAAGCTTGGGCCAAGGGCCGTGGCAAGCCTTCTCAGACCCCAGCTTGACTGGCAGTGCTCTTGGGTCAAAGCTTCGGTGGGGCTGTCGCAGGATGGCATCCGCCCCCCCCCCCCAGCTGCTTCTCTGAGATTCCTGAAGCAGTGATGTCGCCCGGTATGGATAAGTAAGGTCTTGGTCGGCTAGTGCCGGCACGCAGTTGTTTCGCTCAAAGTTGACATCTGGAGTCATACCCAAACTGCGACACGGGCTTGTTGCACCGGATGCAACACGGGGGCAACCCATAGTCGCACGAGAAGAAAACACCGACTTGAGGCCAAGCTCGCTCTGCTACCTAACTTTTCGCAATGATATATCTGATAAGCCGTCGATCCCAGATGTCGCATGTACTCGTAACAGAAAAGTGGTATGTTTGCAGTCCGCCCCGAATGTCAACGTATCTCCCAGACAAAGCTTCTGTCTCCGTGGTGCTGGCACCTGCTATCACCTGCTTCTCCTGCACCACCTGAGTCTTTTCTGCCGAGCTTGGCACCCGTTCCGAAAGTTTTCCTGCCACGCCAGCTACGTCTTCTTCGTGGTGTGAATTGTGGGCCGCAGCCCCGGAAGCTGAATCAAGCTATGTTATTGAAGGAGGTATGGACAAGCACAGGCTTGCACTGTGTGCCGGGGAGCAAACGGCCAGGAATCGAAAGACATGCAACTCACTGGATTTTTCATGGCCCGAGGTCGCAGCACTCCGCTCTGGTGACACAGGCGCCCCCGCTGGCGATGCAATATGTTTAGGAAGGCGACTTCAATCCCAGCCACTTGATGCAGGACGGCAAGCTTCTCACCTTCGGTACCGGCTGGTTCGGACGACTGGGACATGGAGTCGGAGCCTCGAGTCAGAGCATCGAGAGTGGGCAATGAACGTCGAAGTTCATCGCCTTGCAAACTGACCAGAGTCCAGAGTTCCAAGACTTTGCGCTTCTGTGGGGTTCCTTTCGTGTCGGGGCGGCACATTCCCTGTGCCAGGACATGAAGAATGAGTATGTTCCAGCGCTTGCAGGGGTCCCAGTACCACAGGCGAGAACAGCATGTGTCCGTTTACTTTAACAGAAAGTTGGAAGATGCCACCTCTTGGTTGCCTTTATGGGCGTGGTCTGTTTACAAAAGAAGCGATACCAGCCTCGGTTGACCTACCAAACTCGTCATTTTTGCTACAGTTACACGGCTCCGGGGCCAACGTGCCGACATTGTCCTTGCTTTAGGTTTAGTCAAGGGGTGACAGCATCTTCAAGCAAACACTTGCAGCATGCTTGAGAAGAACAGGACGCTCCTTGCGCTGGTGAGCAAGTGACTGACAGACGACAGAACGGCAGCCGCAGGTGCAAGAATCACTGGGTAGACCACCCAAATGCCAGCAACAGAGCAAGACAGCAGGGACAAGCCCCGCTGGTTGCTCTGCCGCCTGTACATGTTGACACCCACTTTGTCGTGCAGAGGTGCCAATGTCGACGCACGTGAAGGAAGTTCACTGCGCTATGCGCCCTCGGAGCTGCAGGCGACAGGTTTGCGCTTGCATCTTGCTTGTCAATTCTGCCCTGCATGTTGTGCTCAGGTTCTGACAAGCCTAGGAATGTATTGAGGTTCAGCTGCGCTATGTTTTGCAGAACGAGGTACCACACGTGCATCGTAGACTCAAAGGATCATCTCTGGGTCTCCGCCCCGGCATCGAGCAGCCATGCCCAGCTGGAATTGCAGAATTTCTTGAAGCATCCAAGGTCTGTGGAAGGGATTCGTCTCTGTGCAGAGATGCGCAGAACCACGTGCTCGGGACTCGGTTACAGGGATGGCCGAAGGGCGGGGGGAAGTTGGGGAGTTGCAAGGGACTGCTTGGACTCTGTTTTGCACCCTCTCTTGAGGCTGTCGCCGACTCTTTTCGAGCCGTTCCAGCATGAGGGGGAGGTCCGGTGTGTTCGCTCGCGGCGGGCTCAGCTAGTTCCAAGAGCTTCGGCAGAGCCAAGAAGCCGGCTTCGCTGCTGTCATCTGCTATGAAGCTGACTGGCTGGTCGAGAGCCCTGGTGAACCGACGATCTTGGAAGCCTTGAGCCATTTGAAGCCTGCTGTTCTTGGAACCCGAGTGCTGCCAAATCTTTGAACGCTCACACCTTTCGACTGCGCACGATGATCTTGGTATGTGGCAGCATGACGTGCCAGTTCCAGGTTTATGCAATGGTCGCAACCTATTTAGCAACATAAGCCTCAGTCCCAGTCTCGGCGATCTCAGCGGTGCGAACGCTTGGGAGGCTTGCCACTTGTGAGCAGCACACTCTTGTAGCGACCTATCGGCAGCGCGGCCCCTCAGAAGTGCTGTTGAAGTGCAGTAGGCCTGTGATAGTGCAGGCGCCGACCAGGAAATTGGGATGTGCCGTGCTGAGGAACAATCCAGATGACACCGAGCTCTGGGTTTGGGGCCCGCACCCAAGGACAGAAGGTCGCTTGGTGCTGTGTGAAGACTTTGCGTTGCAAGTTTTTGTAAGTCGTGCCTTTTTCGTCCATGCCGCAGCATTTGGAGCTCTTGCTGAGCCCAGTATGGCCTTGGTGGCCGCGAGCCCTACCCGCCATGGGCTGGAACCGACCTGGCAGCCCCTTCCTGCCAGGAGCTCACGCTCGACACCAAGTTTGAAACAATCTGTCCCGAGACATGTTTCTCCTGGCTCATAAAAACACAGCAGTGCTTCCCGATCTGCCTTCAAACGATGTTTCACGGCGCATAACATCACACGGGGCTGCTTTCGCATGTGGCTCTTAATTAGCGTAGATACAGGCATGCCAAATCCTTGCAGAAGATTTGACTGGTGGAGTCGTCATCAACTGCATCTCGCGGATGCTTGCGTTTTTGCTGTGCCTGTGCGAGCTAGGGGCGCTGGTGAATTCTGCAATTTGAAATCAGTCGTGTGCTTGAGAGAAGAGGGATCAGCCATCGGCATGCTGCATGCTGATAAAACTCTTACTCTGGTTTTTTCGAAAAGCGGAATTAAAAGTTCAGAGGGGATGAGTGCCCTCTTCATCTGGGGGGCGGCACTGCCCTGCAGGTAGCAGTGTCCATCCCGGGCCTGCCCCATGTGCTCCTCAAAGTGCATACGGTCATGTGGATGATTAGCATTTCACGAGGTCTTCCACTAACACGAAGTTTCTTTGCTCTTTCGCTTCATGCAGGAGATACCTGAGAATAGGCAGAGTCAGATCCCTTTGCTCCTCCAGCTCGTCCAGGCGGACGTGGGGCACTCCAAGGCCTGAACTTGCCCATTGCCATCGGAAATGTGTGTTGAGATGCTCAGAAAACACGTGTTCGACAAGATTAGAATTCTCCATCTCGCTTTGCCACTCCTCGTCCCTTCCTTTTCCTGTCTCGCTCTCTCGCCTGTGATACGACTGCTACGAGGAGTAGCGACTGCCTGGCATTCCTGCCTTCGCTCCAATCGATTCGATGGCCTCCGCTTGTCGGTGCCCACCTTGAAGGGTTGTCGCGGCAGGTCGCGGCTCGAGCTTGCCGCAGCCTTCACTGCCAGTTCTCTGTGCTGGGCTCGGGGCTCGCGAGCCTCCAAGAAGAGGCGGCTCAGAACCTTGGCAAACCCTTGAGTTAGGATTGCCGTATGAGCCTTCCTAGCTTTCTTGACTGTGAATAAGATCCCCCTTCCTTTGCCAGTCTGTCTTGCACTGATCGCAGACTTTTTGATACTTGCCTTTCTGTTTATCTCAAGCTACTGTCCAGGCGCAGCATGTGACACGAACAAACCTTCACAAGTGAGGACATGTCCTTGTCCGTGCACAGGGGGAGCCACTTGGCAGTGTGGGCTTTGGACTTGAAGGGAGTTCATAGCGGCCCAAAAAAAGCGGCGCTGCAAAGCACACGGCGCAGAGAGATGTATGTCGATCAGCATGATACGTCGTGATACGTACATGCGGCAGACTCAAGTTGGAGCCGAGGGAGATTTCAGCGGAGGATGAGGGTCCTGAAGAGCCGGTCTACGACCTTGAACCTTCAGTGCTCGGGGCCCCGCCTGACCTCTCCTTTATGAGCCTGGGCGGCCGTTTGCAGAATGCTTGCCAGTTCGTCTTTCCGAGACTGTGTGATGACACTGCGGCTGATGTCCAGGGCTTTCGATGGAAAACAGAATTGTGCCAGAGTCATCGCAAAATCCACTACCTCGGTGCTTCCCCACTTGATAAACCACACTCTCGCCACAGTGCCGTGCTGTTTTGTTCGGGTGGGAATCGTACCCCCGCGCGGTCCCGTGCGCCGTGTCCTCGAGATCCTTGGCGGGGTCTCAGCGTCCCGCCATGCAGACCACGATAAATTTATTGAAATGTCCTGTATCATCGCTGCCCTAGCGCCTCGATCAGCAATGCAGGAGGCAAAGCAGGGTTTGAATTTCGTGGCCCCTACACAGTGCTGCACCCATGTTGGTGCAAATGGTGTTCCCGCCACGGTCCCGTGCATGTCGTGCTTCCGCCTCCACAGCCTCACGCGCATTTTGAGGCGGGACTCGTGTTCTGGCGTGCCAACAGTGCTCCCACCACAGTATGGTGCGCACTTTGGACTCACGAAGGTCTCGAAGCATCAATGCTCCCGGGAAGGTTCTCCGGTGCGGAAGGGGTGGATTGCTGGGTGCTCTTTCGCTGTTTGGGATCTCATATTTGGATCTTGCATGTGTTTGGAGTTTTGCGGATGCAAGGATTGAGGAGGTCCCATCTCGCAGCAGCTCCTCGCTAATTATCCACCACCGGCTTGGCTCGGAGTCGCACTACCAGGCAGTGGCTCGGCATGATCCCCAGGCGATGTGCATTGCAGCTTCCACAACCCTTTCACCAAGTGGCCGCTGAGGCAAAACGATCAGATAGAGTGTTTAGTCCTCTTGAGCCCCATGTTTGACAAAACATCTTTCTTTTGAAAGCCACACTCAAGCAGCCAGGGAGCGTGTCTTGCCAGAGTGCCCGCCTAGGTTCTCAAGCTGGTGGAAGAATATCTTCCGCCCCTCACCTTTGATATGCTACTTATTTTTGCGCTGATTGTGGTTCGTCTGGATCGGATGCTGTGCTCGTTCGTCATTCGGAGGCCAAAGCATGCCGATAGTTTCATCTGCTCACTGGCCAGTGGGGTTGACAAGGAACGGGCGCAAGTCGCTGTCCCGATCAGCTGGTCTAAAGCCGCACTCAAGGGCTGCCCAAAACGCGCTCCCCCCTTGCCCGTCGACTGTGCAGCCTGGCAGTTCTCAGGAAGTTCGACATCTACAACTGCGCATCTGCACTTCACAAATTCGGGTTGAACTCTCGGGATGACGAGTTGGCGACAAGGCCAGTTCTTCGCAGAAGCAAAGACGCATGGCAGAAAGTGCGTGTTCGTGGTCAAGACATCTCAAAACGGAAGACAGGCAAATCCAGTCGGATCCCAACTTTATTCGGCTTTTCTCCGCCACGCGCCTTGGCGAGCAATTCTCTTTTCTCTTTTCGATGAGATCCGTCGACTCTCGGCCTTCGCAGGAAGAAGCGGGCCCTGGAGATCGAGACTGTCGCAAAAGTGGAGCGAGCCGCGAGTCGCCGCGAGTCGCCGCGAGTCGCCGCGAGTCGCCGCGAGTCGCCGCGAGTTCTGGGACCCTGGGAACATGTCACAGTTCAAGTGCCTGTCGATGCAGGAGCCTCGGGTGCTCTCCTCTATCCTTTGGGCTTGTGCTACTTGGATAACAAGAATGGCAGAGCGTGTTGACCACATCCTGTGTCGCTGTTGGATCCATGTTGGAGTACTTCTGAGGCCAGGCTAAATATTTACGACAGCGAGCTTACGAAAGCTGTGTCTGAAGATGCTCAGTCCCGGATGAATCAGTGCCATGGCAGAGATTTCAGATCTCGTGCGGCTTGACATTGCAACATGCCGTGTTCTGAGCTACATGTTCCCAGGTATTCCCCGCAGCAGATCGGCATGATCATGTGGGCCATGGGTTATTCCGGAGTTCGGCCCAGGCTCGGAGTGGATGATTTTGTGATGTCGTCAAGCGAACACGTGCCGTTCAAGGCCCAGCTTCATCAAGGCGCTGATTACAGAACTCCAAGGTCGACCAGACTTCGACAGTCACACCTGCATGATGATCACTTACAGCTGCATGTGACTTGGCGCAGAGTGAATTTGCAATGGTCTCACAGACGCCCAGAAATCGAGGCGCTTGGGCATCCGTGACAAGCGAGTTATGGAGGCCGTAGGCAGCATGGCAGAAGCTTCTTGAGACTCAGACGAGGGAGAGGGAGAGGTCTCAGAGGAAACCTCCTCAGGTCGAGTCATTATCGACTCCAACTTGGAGGACTCCGAACCCTTGGAGGCTCGCAGCTCGAGCCATCGCATCAGCGTGTGTCAGAGCATCAGCACCCCAAGAAAGCCGACGTCCCCAACAGCAAGGCTACAGTACAAGTGCTGAAAGCCCGCGCATCCGAGCCGTGGGCTCCTGTTCTGAGGTCGTGTTTTTCGGTCACGTCCGGTGAAAGTAACCTGCTCACCGTCAATTTTTGCCTTTTCTTCCAGAAGCTCAGTAGGAGTCCTGGTCACCCGCTTGCTGCAAGGTGGCTTGCTACTGCTACGCCTATGGCAAGCTCGAGCAGCTGGGACATCGCGATTATGCTGTAGCATCCGTGGGGCGAGCTTCTTTTGTGGTATTTATGTTTGCCCGTTCCGAAACCTTCACCTTTTGCGCGAAGCTCTTGAGTCTTGAAGGCATGATTGTACGGAGCTGCATCACGATTAAGGAGCAGGCGTGAGCACCCCCAAGTCAAGATCCGGACAGGTATTGGGAGAAGGGGGCCTTCTCCGTCATCGCAGACCGTGTCCTCGACACCATGGGGGACTTCTCTCCTCGGATGTTCAGCATGTCAGCCCTAGGCCACAGGGAGAAGATGTGCGATGTTCGAGCTTGGTGTTTTCATCCTGGTCTCGGCTTGCTGGATTTTGCTGGCTCTGCACTCACTATCCAACTCTAAATGCAGCCATCACGCCTGGAGTCTGACAGGTCTGGCAGCCGCAGCCGCAGCCCTGTGTATGCAAGACTCAAGTGATGAGTTAACCCGGAATATCCCTTTGCTTTATTGGAATTCATGACCTGGCAGCCTTCCTCAGTCCGTGCACGGGGCGTGTGATGTTGCTGAGTGTTGCAGACTTGCCCGGTAGCAGAAATCGAGTAACGCCTGAAAGCACCATGCGCCCATGCCCGCCGAATCGCCAGGGCAGCCATAGATGGCACTGGTGTTGCGAACCGAACTCTGCATCCAAGGTTCTTGAAGGCTTTGATGAAACTATGGACAAGTTGACGCTGGTCGAAACAGTTCCCATACGATTTATGGGAAGCATGTGCGAGCATGGCTGGTGAAGCATGGGTTTTTGATTTCGTTTCGTTGGACGGGGTCGGCAAGAACAATCTTGGCATGTGGGTGAAGGTCGACAGGTGAAATTATGAAAGCCCACAGTCATGGAGATGCGAGTTTGAACTGACTATGTCCATCTTCGCGTGATCAGCAACGACTAGCACAAGTAGAAATAAGTTTTAAGGGGCACGTGTAGATCATGTGGAAGGGAGGCTTTGCACCCCAGCCCCCAACCCCCAACACCCGAAAACAGCCCCCAATCCCCAATCCCCATTCTCCAATCTCCAACCCTCCCTCCCTCCCTCCCTCCCTCCCTCCGTCCCTCCTTTTTGCGTGCGTATACGTGATCGTATCCGATGTTTTCGTGGAACGTGTTAGGAAAGTCATGATCGAAGACCGCTTGGTTGACTTCAACCACCGAGATCTGTCCACGATTGCTTTCGCTGTCGGCAAGCCCCTTGCTTGGCACGTGAGTTGTCATGGCCTTGATGACAGTGGCTAGTTATATCGTCCAGAAAGCCCGGGTACCTGAAGTCAAGGGGTTTACAAGTTGCAGCTTTAAGTTTCCAGTGGACCTCGGCGGTGGCACGAGAACAGCCTCTGCGCTTGTAGCAAATGGGGTTGCGTAATAACCCTGCGCCTAAGTGTTGTGTCTTGGCCTGTCACTGCTGGGTTTTTCCGCTCATCCTCTGTGGAAACACCAAGACAAGAAACTGCAACGATCATCAACGATGCCGCCATAATTATGGCAAAACCCAGCCAGGAGCCAAAACTCAAAACGAGGCATCTCCAGTACTAAAGTTGTACTACAACCCAGCACAATCCAGAAAGGACCCTAAACGACGCGTTTCCAGTACTAAAGTTGTACTACAACCCAGCACAGGACCTCAAACGAGGCATTTCCAGCATTAACGTTGTGCTAACATCAAGATTGGTTGTTTTGGTTAGTAAAACGATGACAAGAAATAGACACGATAACAAAATTCCGGGAGAGGGAAATATTCACGGGATTATGTTACCGCGGGGGGCCGTGGCTTTGATGTGCATGTGTGTGTGTGTGCAACCAATGAAACAACGGCTTTGGCATGCTGTGCTGCCCATCTCAAGACCCTGAAGCCTGGAGTCTCAGGTTCAGCAAGAACACTCAAGACAGAAGAGTGGCCATTGAAGGCCCGGCATCTCATCGAGGGTGCACATTCTGCAGTGATTTTGCTTGGAGAATGTTGGGTCAGCACGTGGGAAACAAACACAGGAAAACTCCAACACGATCTGCACTGCTGGGTGGAGGCCTGGAGGTATCGACTGACTGGTCCTCAGCATCTGCGGAACTCGAGAAGGAGAACCCTCTCGTGCGAGCCCTGAAAGACGAGGCCGGGGGCCGACAGGATCCGATAGCGCGACAGGGGCGAACGGAGGAGAGCTGAGGCGAGGCATGCGAGGCGTTGGTTGAGTCGAACACCCTTCTCCTCGACTGTGGTGGTCAGAGAGCTGTACAATCACTTTGCCTCTCCATTGAAGTATACTCCTAGATTCGCGAGGACATGCTGAGTTGAAGGACATGGCCTTGTCCGACATGATATTTTGTGAAGTGCTTACGGCGTACGGATTGTTTCCTGGTACCGCCGTTGTCTCATACGTGCAGTGGTCATCAAGCTAAGCTGGAAAGCGTGCGCACTGGGGACCTCCAAACACAAAGCTTGAATAAGCTACCCCGACGCAGCCGGAGGTGATCAGACGGGATCTTGAGTCCTTCACCATGCAAGAGCTCAACCTTATCACCTACTCGTTGATGTGATTTGGCTGCCTCGATCCTAGAGCTCTGGCAGTTGACGAAGGCTTCTCCGCTAGCCATAGAGATGAATTCGACGTGGTGCCGAACAAGAGAACGACGGTACCCAGTGCTGTGCTTTGTGCAGTCCCGCGAACGTTGTAACTTGCATGCACTAAGTAAGTGCCACGAAGAAAGACAAGGCGCATGGAGAATCGCGATGCCGCCTTCCTGGAAATTGCAGCTCGGCTGTTTGCCGAGAATGCCGCAGAGCTGATGGAGGCCATCCACGGGATGAGGTTTCAGGGATGCATGAAGATCTTCTGCAAAGTCAAGGAGATGCTTTACTTCGGCAATCTATCAGCATCATCAGGTCGTCAGCTCTTTCAACAGCGTATCCGACAGATTAGCTCGTAAGATAATGAGGATTGTGCGTACTTAGCCTTGAGAATCTCGCCGCGAGTGCGATGTGATGTGGGGAACCTGGCCGGGCGTGCTCCGATCAAGCCTGTGTAAAAGGGCCATCTGTCGGGCCTCGAACGACACCGTGATGCCGTGGTTCAGTGCTTCTGGAAAAGTCATTTGTCAGGGGCAGGGCCGTGGTGCACTTTGCATGGCTTTTCAGCAGCGCCAGCCAAGAATGCTGACAAGGAAGACGGACCCACTGAGCCGGGCTGATCTAGCCTGGGAGACAGCGGCAGCTTTTTATCGAAACCCGCTTTGGGGTTGAGTTCCCGTTTAGTGCTCTAATGCGAGGTGCACGAGATCGGACCCTGTCTTGACGGAGCTATTGAAGACTGAGGTGGATGGATCTTGGACGCGGGTGGTGGACGGCCCGGAGAGGCGAGGTCAGGCGGCGGCGGTTGACGCGGAGGGCTGTGGACGGAGGAATAGCCGGGGTGGACAAGGCTTGGACAAGGGGGGTGGGCGGACCGCGATATCGGGTGCGCGGGCGGTGTGTGGGGGATGCATGCACAAGGGGCAACAGCACGTTATCGTGCCAGACACTACCGTGCAAACTGGCGCGGATTTTTGGTTTTGCAACACTTTGAAGGGCGGGTTTTCGGTTCACCTTTTTTCTCCGGGTTGCTCGGCGGGCCAGCGACCTTCCTTTGCGAACCATTCAATTCGCTGTTTCATTGTCAGGTGGAGATCCTCAATATCTTGTACTGCTATGCCAAGTGTGTCGTGGCATTGAGCACCGGGCTGTTTGTTGTAGTGCTGTGGTGCGAGATGTTCTTCACACCTTGCTTTCGTAAATACAAATAGTCTGGTGTTTTTTCCCTTCATTGAGACTTCGTTTGGCTCGGCGTCTTCTGTCTCAGCCAACATCCCTTCCCAACAGCCAATAGCTGCATTCATCAAGCTGGAGTTGCCGGAGCCTGGCAATCCCCCGAAACTCAGACTGCGGCGGGCGCCTTAAGACATGTAGTGTCTGAGTTCAAGGCAACTACCTGAACATGGCGCTTGTCCATCGGATGATTCAGGAGGGTAGAAGCCTTGTTCAGACCTCGAAAACTTGTCGCATGTCCTAGGGCTTTCTGTTTGAGGCGGAATCTGTTTGACCCGGAATCTGATGAGTGCTTCATGGGTAAACTTCGCAGGAGCTGATTCGGCGAAGCAGCTTCGAATCTTTCGAGCCATTGCGCCTCGGCTGGCACGCTGAGATGGCCCTGTGTCAACCTTGGAGCAGCAATGCGCTTCCAGGCATTGGGCCATCCTGTGCTACAGCCTCGCGTTCAGCAAGGCCGGGTCGCAGGGCAGGACTCTCAGGTTGCGGGCTTGCTTAGGGCTATCGCACGTGGCCACAGTCCGCAGTTTTATGATGAGGACTGCAGTGGCAAGCCGAGAGAAGGATATCACACATCACACATGTAGGGTTGTTGTGACGATGGATCTGTTTCGAACCAGACTCTCCCATGCTCGGAGCTTCTGCAGTGCGCTGCCATATCCGGTATTTTTTTTGCTGGTACTACTTTTCGGACGGATCCTTCGTTGACCAGCAAAGCCGAGTCGAACTGCCTGCTGCGGTCTGGATTCTGCTGCCGGACTGTTTCAGCAGGTTCGGCACGAAGACGTGATGGCTCGAGCTGCACTGGTTCTGTGCGAAAGGGTGCGGGAGCTGCTTGGAAAGCCTTGGCACGGCAAGACTTCGGATTCCATGCAATTCGGGATTTTTTGTAAGCTCGTAATGCAAGTGGCTGACTTGATTCTGTCTCTGTCATTCCGATGAAGACCGAGGTTCACATCTCAGCAGTGTCTTGGTCTTTATTTGTGGGAGTCGGGGTCTGGGAAGGAGGAGCAGGAGGAAAAGGAGGAGGAGGAGTGGTAGTAGCAGCAGCAGCAGCAGCAGCAGTAGTCGTAGTCCTAGTCGTAGTCGTAGTCCTAGTCGTAGTCGTAGTCATAGTCGTAGTCATAGTCGTAGTCGTAGTAGTAGTAGGAGTAGCAGTAGTAGTAGTAGTAGTAGTAGTAGGCGGCGCCAGCCTGCTCCTGTGACCACCCACCCTGGTGCACCCTCCCACAGCCGTTTCAGCGGATTCGTGCACATTGGACAAGTCTAGGATTATAGGGTTTAGGGTGGGCTTTCCATTGAGATGCAGCTTGGGTTTTACATTGGGCTCCTATTAGATAAATAACCCTTTCCTTTGGCTTTTCTAGTAGTAGATACGGATTTTCTGTTAGATGAGGTGTTCCAATCAGATAGGGTTTTCCTCGTAGGCAGGGTTTTCCCATCAGATAGGGTTTTCCTATTGGAAAGGGTTTTCGTATTAGACAATGGTGAAAGGAGTTCTCATTTAAATGGTTTGGCTTGGCTTGGCTTGGTTTGGCTTGGCTTGGCTTGGTTTGGCTTAGCTTGGCTTTGATGAACTAGCCTCAGGTTCTGGCATGGCTAGTCCTGATGAAGACGGACAATCGAAAGTAGTAGGAAGAGTAGCACAAGTAGTAGTAGAGTAGCAGTAGCAGTAGCATTAGCCGTAGCAGTAGCAGTCGCAGTAGCAGCAGTAGCAGTAGTGGTGGTGGTGGTGGTGGTGGTGGTGGTAGTAGTAGTAGTAGTAGTAGTCGTGGTAGTAGTAGTAGTAGTAGTAGTAGTAGTAGTAGTGGTATTAGCACGACGGTGGATGGAGAAATCTTGCACCGCCCAGATGTTGACTCATGATATCGTGGTAGTTGGTAGTAGCAGCAGCAGCAGCAGCAGCAGCAGAAGCAGCAGCAGCAGCAGCAGCAGCAGCAGTTGTTCTTGTTCTTGTTCTTGTCCTGGTTGTCGTTGTTGTTGTTGTTGTTGTGGTCGTCGTCGTCTTCGTCGTCGCCGTCGTCGTCGTTGCTGCTGCTGCTGCTGCTGCGATAGCTTGAGATGAACAGGTCATAGAATATCGCAACCAGAAAGGTCACAGAGGATGGTAGTGAAGATCACCACCTGATTGTAGATGCACGAGGGAAGGAGTCGCTAGGAAGCACCTGCAGTGACTCTTCCGAAGGTGTAACTCCAGCTATAAGGTGGCACAAGAAACTCGGAGTTGTCATCGTTCGCCTGCGCTGCTGAAGGATTTCTATGATTATGTGGTCCATGGCCGTCCTGAACTGCCGCAACCACGCTGAAGTTCTCAGCTCTGCAGTGGCGGAGGAGCAAACATAGACCGACGTCGTTGGGGTTTCGGTACTACGGTTGGAGGGCTCAGCCGACATGCAAGGCATCGAGGCATATCGAGTAAGTGGGCATACCATGCAGGGATAGGGGCGACTCAGAACTCGCTGTTGCAGGAGCTCTCAACGAGGCCAGCTACGACCACGCCCTCCCTTGTCGTGCCTGAGCTGGATTTCGTTGTATGGCATGTCGGCACAGCGCTGCGGCTGTGCAAGGGAATAGATGCTAGCTAGCTGCTAGCCTGACCAGATCTGCCGAGCGTGCGGCCTGTGCTTGCCCTGTTGACACTGCCGACCGAGATCACCATGTGGTCCTGTGCCATTCTCGCTGGGCCAGCTGCAGCTTTGCATACAATGCACCTCGGATATTCCAGTTTGCCCCTTCCTGCGACTGGCTGTGTTGCCGTAGTCTCTGGTGAGTGAATCTTTGTTAGTTTGAGTTTCCTGGCGCAGATTTACGGAATACTTCCTGCCAGGAAGATCCTGCTTTCAGACGACTTCTGGGATCGCGAGCTTAGTCAGCTTCTCGTTTGCAATGCTTCCTTTGGTTCGAGGTCCGGGTATCTTGCAATGGAGATTGTCAACGTAGACGGATTGTTATGACCAGCTTGACGCGGAGCTCAAGGAGTCACAAGAGCACTTTGCTGCACCGAGGCGACACTACACCATGGTCTACTACCTCATGGCTAGTTGGAAGGCTGGCTTTGGTTGGACGGGTGGGGGGGGGGGGGGGGGGNNAGGGAGTTTCCAGCACAAGCATTGACAGGTCGCGCGATAAAACATCGAACACATTTATAGGGTCTCTGGCATCTGACTGTGGTTTGCCGCAGCAAGGACCAGAACATGAATCAGGTTTGTGCTGCGAGACTCACTCTTGCAGCTCTTAGCTTAGCGCGGGTTGCACCCTCGGTATTGATGGGCAGCCGTAAGTTTGCAGTCAGAGCGTTGCTGGTCTGGGAGATGTTCTGCTTTGTCATAATGTGCTGTTTATGATTGTTAATGTGCCCCCAAAGCCTCGAAGACCGCAGAGGCAGAGCTTGGTCTCTCCGTGGAAAGCTTGCTTGGGCACACGGTTTGCCGGCGCTGTTACGAGGACTGCATCGTTTTTCGGTTTGACTTTGCATCTCTCAAGGTCGGGATGGGCGCAGAGCTTTGACTGCAGGAGCAGACGGCTTTTTACATGGGCGAACAGCATCGGAGGCTGTCGGACCGCCTGCGGGTGCAGCAAATCCCACACCAGGCCACGACATGTCGCGACGTTTGTGTAATTTAGGTGGAACAGCCAGCATGAGTTCCGGCCGAGAGTTATGCAAGAACGACTGAAGCCCTGAGATTTCCGGAAGACTCACACTTCCGGCAGAGCCGTGGAGCCGTAGAAGTTGCTTCTGAACCAAGTGCCGCCGTTGCTGCGACGCACAAAACGACTCTCGAGGCAAATGCCATGGCACCTATCCTTGACGGCTTTGGCGAATCTGGTGTAAGGGCTCCTCGGCTGCCGCGAGCACAAGAAGGGCCGAGCCGAAGCCCAAAAGCAAGAGACCGCTCCTCGCAAAGGTCGACGTTGCGATCAACAAGCTGAAGTTAGTCATCGAAGTGGAGGCTGCGATGGGCTTTGGAATGCACAAGACAGGCTGACAGGCTGTAGATGATGTCCATTCGTGTGTCCGGCAACTCTCCGAACAGTGGCGGAAGCCCTGAAGCGATGGGGAAGGGCTATTGATTGGAGCTTTGTCGACGTGTTGGCAGGGGCCACAGCGGAATACCATTCCCTTGGAATTGCTGACAGCCAGGCGCCCAGAGGCCGAGGTGTTTGTTTTTTCTCTCTTTCCGTCTCGTTCTGGTGGCGTTTGGCTTCTGATGTCAAGGAAAAGCTCATCGAGGAGGATCAGCTGCGAAGCTTTTCGTCGGGGGATAGAACCGACGTTCTGAGCCAGGTGCCGGGTTTCTGCATGCAAATAAATAGTTGTTGTGTGGAGCATGTTACACCTGCTTGCGCGATTCCATGAGCACTTGTCGGACTTGACATAAACAGTGGTGCTGCCGTTAGTTTGTTTGCCGAAGAGGAAGCCATGGCATCTTTGTGAGAATAGTGAAGTCGAGAGCCCTGCGACAGGCCAGAGAGTTTGTAGAGTGCGGCCTTAACGGGCCTGCAGCCTTCAAGCGGCGACTGCTCCGTTTCATGGCTGCGAACTCCGCTAACGCACCTCAGAGTTTTCTGAAAGCTCGGGAAGCTGTGACTATGCATGACTATGCAAGCTCTCCCGTTCGGAGAGGTGCTGAGAGTAGCGAGTGTGGGACGGCTCTTCAGCTCCGCACTCCTCCAAGCAAGGCCTTTGCGGCTGGAGGGTGGTGACGATCTCTTTCGACGAGAGCACCTGGCGCCAATATGGTTGAGGGCCTCCCAAGTCTGTGCCACCGTCCTTGAGCCAGAGGGACCGAGCTGAGGAGTGGGTTGATGTAGTTAATCTCACTGAGATCCAGGGGCTGCATTCTCGGTGCATCCGAGGTGAAGAGTACATAGCCGATGCACTCAAGAAGATGATGAAGAAGGGGCAGGGCGACGAGCAGGCCTCCGCATCGTTTCGAGTCCAGAGAAGTGAAGAAATAAAGTCTTTCGGGACCTCGTTCGTGATAACCTTAATGGCTTTGCTGCCTACGAGAATCCCTCTTGCACAGGGGACTGCAGCTCCAGCGTCAGACAGCTTCCCGGAATCGGCTGCTTATGTGGCTTGCCCGTAAGCTGTCACAGTGTGACATCCCTAGCTGAGACCCGTGTCTTTGCCACATGCCCAAGTGCCAGCAGCCGAGGAGTCGATCCAAGATTTCGATCCCATGTCCATCGAGAAGCCTGATCCCAGCAACATCTCTGACTTCGCCACTTGCTTTGAGCTTTGCAAAGCTGCTTCGTGTAACGCACTTCTGTACTCACGCTTGATAAGAACGGTCCAGGGTTGACAGGCAGCGCCCCAAGAGATGCTACTGTGTCACATGCTGCGCCTTTTCTCCCCACCCCTTGCGTAAATCAGTATAACGGGTGGGGGCCAGGTGAGTGCCATAGCTACTAGTAGAGTTAGTAGAGGTTCGCTGTGCTTGCCGAGCCCAGGAGGTGCAACTACGTGCTCTCCACGCTGATGCTATGAGAAAGCTCCGGATTCAGCTCTTCGAGGATGGACCTGCGCGTCTGCATGTCCATGGATTCATAGGTTTCTTGACCTGGGTGACCTCGAGAGGTGCAGTGATGCTTGAAAGCAGTTTTTGGAAAGTTTCGAAAGGCAACGTGCCTCGCAGTCCAACTTTGAAAGGAGCGAGGGGACGTAGCTTCTGCTGGCAGCTACGCGAACTTCCTGGAGTACCGGCAATGGCAGGCTCCGGGAGTGCGAAGCTTCACCGCAGCTTCCGCCATCCTTGCGGCCCCTGCAGTCACAGCGGGGTCGTTTGCACCCACGACAGGTCGGTGTCGAGAAGCAGATTCTTGCCGAGCTCGTGGCAAGCATTCAAGCCGAGGCCACAAAGCAGAACGCGAAGATTTCTCGGAATACGGTTTCTCAGGATACTGAGCAGGGTGGAGGGAGAGAGAGAGAGGGAGAGAGAGAGAGACAGAGACAGGGGGAGCTTCCCCCTCGCCCACAGCCCTGGCGAAAGAAAGAGACAGAGACGGAGAGAGAGACAGAGAGACACTCCAGCAGCACAGCCGCGCCGCCCGGGACAACTGCCGCTAGCGGAACGAAAGGATTGCCGGTGTGAGTAATCAAAGGGCTTCCCATTCATTTGCGGCAAAGATGTCGCGCGCAGGTGCCTGCCTAGCTTCTCGAAGATGATCCGCCTCAACCAGACGATTTCAATGCTGTGACGGGCGGATGAACCTTGGTACTGGCGAAGTACTGCACCCGGAGAGCACGTACAGGTAGATTTATGACACATTGGCCATCAGCGCGGCCCCATCGAATGGTTGGTGCCAGGTTCGTGTTTCACCCCTCGATGGATAGTTCAATGGCTTGCGAAAAAAACAGTATCACGAAGCCCAATCCAGAGTCGTGCGAGCAGTTGCAGTCACGGGTTGCTGTCGCTTCTTCGACGGTGCCTTCTCCTGTGCTCTCTCCCCCTTTTTCGTGCCAGAGCCGATGCCGTCTGATCCAGACGTGTTACACGGTGGGGCCATCAGTAGACAGTTGGCGGACCGGGCGAGGCAAGAACGATCGCGGACAGCTTGGCTTACCTAGCGCCTCACCTGTCATAGACCTGCCCGGCACCTAGCAAGTGAATTGGATCAGGTATTTGAGATACAGGTACTTCTGAAGACGGACGAACAATGGCCGGGACATTCGGCTCAGCGTATCATCACTTATTCGAGACACGCACTGGTCCACAGCTAGGTTCCGTCTCTGTTAAATCAGGCCGTGGAGACTGCAGATTCCAGAGCTACAGGACATGCGCGAACGCCGCGGGGACCTTGGCTTTCTTGGGCGAGGTTGCGAAGAACCCTTAAAGCCTTGAAGAGCTCTAGCTGATGCTTGCTTGGGTCCACAGACGGTTTTGAAATAGAGTCGTGGGTCGACAACATGGGATGTTGCCGGTAGCCTCTTCGAGAAGTGTGTTGTTCACTGATACAGTTTCCCGTTCGAATCGGCTCAAGCAAGTGCCGATTCAACTCCGGAAGGGCCTCGTCCCTCGTCCGCCCCTTGTGGCGCCAGAGTGGCAGCATGGGGGAGTGTTATACGTGCGGCGTCTTGGATGCGTTACAGCTCTGACCAAGCAGTAGAGGCAGCCGTGCTTACAGTTGGCTGTTGCATCATGCTACACACCTGGATCTCTTAAGGCGTCGTGAGCAAGCACAAACCTATGTCGACTGCGCGTCGCGCGTTGCAAGGTGAGTTCGGTCACATCTCTCGAGACTGCAAGAGCCTCAGGAATGTTTTCATGTTCCGTTGCCCCTGGGGTTCCAGGGTGCAAGACAAGCCAGGGTAACAGGTTCCTCTCAGCGGGGCAAGCCAGGGCTGCAGGATTCTGAGTTGAGACTCAGAGTTCCGGGTGCATTGGGTTTGCTTAAGAGAGCACGGGGGACGGGAGAGAGGCAACAGCAGACGTCCTATTCTTAACTTATTACAATGCTAAGGCTGCTAATTCTGTGTTTCACTTTCGATGAACCCTCTTGTCCGAAGAGGGAGAGCGGGAGAAGCACGGAACCGGCGATTCCCTGGCCCAGGCCCCCAAAAAGGAAAGCCTGGTTTCAAGGCCTTGCCCTCGCCGTCTCTCTTCCCTGAAGCATGGTGACTCAGCTCAGCGTGACAGGAAGTTTGTGGAGACTATCGCCGAGGACGATGTGATCGCGGAGATTCCTGTCGCTTCCTGCACGAAGGAGCAGGCGAAGACGTGGAGATGCCTTGAATCCTGTCGGAAAGACCCAGTGCAACCTTGTGCTGGAGCAGGAATAGGTTTAGCGCCGAGTCAAACGCAAACCAAGCGGGACAGGCTCCGGGGGCTCTGGGCGCTATGCTCCTTGGCCTGGCCGGGCGAGTTAGGGGTTGTTTGCAAGAGAGCAGCAATGATTGCCTACTTTCCAGCAGCAGCGATTATTGCCTACCTTCCTAAGGACTCTGACCGCCGGGGGCGGGATGAACGCGATCGTGGTGATCGCAACTTGAACCAGGATTAGAGGCGACTTCCGCAGGAACACCTGGGGTCGAGTTGGTCAAGGTGCGGGGTGTTTCTGCATCATGTGTGGCCGGCGGCTGCAACACTTCACTTCGGTTGCTTGATTGGGGTCAGCTGATTCCATGTTCCATCGTGTTCCTCTGGCATCAACACATGCCACACAACACAAACTTCATCATTTTGACGCTGAGGCGGCCGCCGAGATGATGACAGAGATCGGAGGCGACGACGTGCCCCGGCCTGGAAGCGAAAGGAAGGTCAAGTCCCTCATGTGCGGGAAAGATTTAGAGCTTGCTGAACCTCTTCATTCTGACAGCGATAGTAGGGACTTGCTTTATTAAGCAAGTGGCGAATACCGCATTTGGGAGCTATTCGCTGACACAGCACCATCGTCACCACCAGTCTTGTCACGCTGTCCAGCGCTTGTGTACTTGTGAAGCGACAGCATTATGTGTCCTCATGCCGCCTCATGCGGTTCTCAAAGGAGACTCGAGTGATTCCCGATCGCGATCCCGGCGCAGACGCTGAGAGAGCCACGAAGACCCGTAGCTAGATGTAGCCATGAAGTTACCTCGTGCCGGTGACAGAACGCTGTGCCCGGATTCTTTTCGTGACTCAGATTGGCGTCCGCCAGTCAGACTTTCGAACAGTGGGCATTTGCTTCGCGACGACCGGTACCAAATTGAATGGTCTATGTGCGACAAGAGTGCGCGAGTACCAAAAAGGAGCCGCTGCTTTTCACAAAATTGCAGTTGAATCGAGCTACGATCAAGCAGCAGCTAAAAGCAGACCGCATGCAGAATACACGAGGCGAGGTTTAGGTGGAGAAACTAAGAGCCAGCACAAGCTGCATCTGTGCACAGAAGAGCTGTCACGGGGGCCGCGACAGCTCGGAATGGTGCTGGATGCCAGCTCCTTTGAGTGCAGCCATCCGTTCTTCTCCTATCTTCTTGTAGCCGGTTCAAACGGAGAAGCATCTGCAAAGCATCTTGCAGAACCTCGATTGGGATCTGCGCATCAAAATGTGGTCATCATCGTGACCCGCTGGAGCACGAAGCGAAGCCGACACGACGTTTTGGCAATGCCGGTGAAAGTGAGCTTTAGCTGCGATCGGAAAAGGACCTGCAGGCTTTTCGGGTCTCTTGCACTGGTTTCTGCGACATGTCTTGCTGCAGTACTCCCCTGGTTCTGCTTGCGATGCGACTTGAGGTGGCCGTAACTACACGCTCACCCAGGCTCTCGGGCCTTCTGTTGTGCCGGGGGCGAGGGGGCGAAGCCAGACTGTGCTAGTTCGATAGTAACCGGTGCTTCCGGCGAAAGCCTTCCAAAGCTAAATTTTTGTGCGTTCACCTGCAGGTAGCCACAGGGTGTCAGCCTCATCCGGGAAGCTCCGCTTGACGTCTCTGCTTCGCTAGAAGAGAATCCTTTGGCATGTGTGGTACACTTAAAGTCTAGTGCTTCGCAGCCAGTGGCGGAATTCTCTGCTTCTTGATGGCAAGCTGTCTTTCAGACTTCCCCTTTCACATCCTTTTGCCTTCTTCCAAGGGTGCACCACTCCATGTGCATCGCTATGCTGGACGACCCGCGCGGGCAGCGCAAAGAGTCCCATCCTCAGCCGGCTCAACCGGCTCACGGCTCACATCGGCTCTCCGTTTTGGCTGTCGCTTTGGAGGCCGTCAGTGCATGTACACAGACGGAAAGTATGCGGTGGTGAGTTGCTGCCTACACGTTGGATGGCCAACCTCAACCACAGCCTTCAGCAAACCCTCAATGCTGTGCTTCTGGACTCTAAGATAGTTGGAGGACCAAGACCAAGCCAAAATCAGAGTAGCAGAAGGGCCTAGTTCGAAGCGGTAGAACGGCGGTGATGGCGGGCAGACCTCGGAGGCCGGTTATCCCGTGAAGTCCCAAACGCATTGCTCGCTGTGCTCGTGCTCGCAGGCCGCTTTGGGCCCTCGAGCCAGGTGTAGTGCCCTGGAGCGCTCTGGAGACCTGGATCTCGGTGCCACTAGGTGCAGTCAGTGTTTAGAGTCTCAGAATCGTGATGGACCATTGCGATTGTGAGTCTCGCTTGAAGCCTTGCACTTGCTCGCGGGAGCGTTCGAGACCTCGTGGGCTTTGTTTGTTTGTGTGTGTGTGTGTTCTGTGTGCCTAAACTGCTATTCCTACTGTAGATGTAGCCGAGGCTCTTGATATATGGATGGTACTGCTTCTGTGGCCGGTTTGCGGCGTACCTGCTTCCACAAGACCAGTGGCTGCGTAGCTCATTCTAGCTGTTTCGTTTTGAGGGGCGGGGCAATCTGTACAGCTTCATCTCGGCCATCTATCTGCAATTCGCGCGGCCTTTCCTGTAATTCTGGCTACAGCACTGCAGGTGTTCATGCGGCACCTGCCCCATTCCTGGTGAGAATGTTCCTCGCGGTTTCCGTGGACAATTATGTGCACGCTCGGGTTGACACCTTGAACCAGTCGGCATGATGGGTTTTTCGTTGGTGACGCAACTTGACCTCCATGAGGACATATGAGGACCTATCGGGCGACGGAGTCCCGTTTATGGGTGCTGGGGTGTGGCAGAGTCAGAGTCGTCATCGCATCCTCCCTTGGTCATTAATCCGTCCCAGCACGACGTTCTTCAGAGCTTAGTGGCTTAGTCCTTTCGACATAGTCGTGATGTTTCTTTCTCATGGGAGCCGCTTAAGGGTGAGTTGCTCCCTTTGCTAAACAGGGGGTGACTGGAGCTTCTGAGGTTGAGTCGCCTGTGGTTGGGCCAGATTGGCACCTACGTGCTGACGTGGACATCTCTCAAGCCTTTGCTGAGGCGATTTCGGGGCCAGTGACCCAGCGTGCAGATCAAGGACATGACTTGGCTGTCCGAAGGCAAATGTCTCCAGACAGCTTCCGCTGTCTCCTGGCTTTTCCACACGGTCTGTGGCGCTGGGTCTTGTCCGGCTTCTTGGACAGCGCCTCCAGATATCCATCCACCCAAAGCCTTCCAGCAAAGCCTCGTAGCTTACTGCCAGACGGAAGGGCTTCGTGTCTCAACCTTGCTAGCGGATTTCAGCCTTCACTTTGCAGTGGTCGCTACCAGACCCAATTGTCTTCACAGAAGCTCGCTCCTCGTCCTGGTGGCACCTGGCACCCAGGCTTCATGGCGTCTGTAGCCCTTGGCTACCTGGCAGCCTGGTGGCGGAGGCTTCTGTGGGCTTCTGTGAACTCTCCCTCTGCTTCACCGCAATCCAACAAGTTTCCGAAGAGGCATGTATGCTTCGGCATTTCGGAGAGGTGGCGTAGCATTCAGTGTCTATACAACTCAACACTGTACAAGGTTTTGACTCTGTTGTTGATGGCATGGCTTGAGTCGTTACTTGAGTGCATGTGGGCACCCAGTCACGTAGGATAACAAATCTTCCTGCGATCATGTGGTTGAAGTAAATGTACAATTAGTGACATTCCTACGGTAGAGATGGCCATAGATCTCGACACTGGGCGTCAGAAATGAAGACAAGATCCCCGAAAGAAATATCAAAGTGGATCTTCGGGGCAGGTCATTACGTAAAGCAAAGTCCACGTGGCTCAAGATGAACAAATCAAACGTGCCGGGAGTTTCAACATCAACAGCAGCAGCCTCAGCAGCTTTCACATGAAGTCGCTACCATTCGGCATCCTGTAGCTTCCATTGCAACCCCGCCTTCATGAGATTATGCTCAGATCCTTCAACAGACTCCGTGCATGGAAAGCGCATGAACATGCTACACTTGTTCTCACAGCAAGCCAGGTCATGCCGAGACAGGCTTTTTTGAGATCCTTTCCGAACAGATAGGATTTGGACCATTGGGGCCCGAAAGCTGACCGAGGCTTCGTGGTCGCTCCGCTTGGGCGGGGACAGGCCGGTTCCCGAAGCACAGTTGCGCTGCATCATGCTTGCGGGATGTCTGAGATGAGAGAGCTTGAGGTGGCTCCTGGCCCACTGCTACCGGAGTTGCTCGTCTCGGAACACTTCATTTCAAGGTCCTAGACAATTGCTGATCCTGCGGTAATTTGGGATTGTCGCTGGGCTGAAAACGGAGGGGGTGAGCAAGTGCTGGCGCTGCAATGAAATGATTGAATGTAATAGTCGAATTCTACAGTACAACACATGAACACTCTGACCCCCGAGACTTTGATTGCCGCCAGCAGAGGCTATCTTGTGCTGCTCAGCTAGCAGGGAAAGGTGACATGTGGGCAGCAGCTCGGTGCCATTGGTGTCACGCAGGAGCCTCGCAGGCATGTTGTATGCCGTTGTATGCAGGTGGCCAGTCTAATCCTGCTCGTGGGCCTGCTGGCTCCGGCGTTCGAAGAGACTCTTGCCTTGAAAGGCTTGAGGATGGTGAACTCACTTTTGAAGGCATCAGCTGTTGCGGTGCTTCCGACTAAGGCTGTTTTTCCGTGGCTTCCTCCTTCTGGCCTTCTCCAAATCCAACCCAATCTTCTGGAGCAGCTTTCTGCCACCCGGCGATCTGGTCGGCGTGCCCATTGCATTTGCCACACCTGATGTGCGAAAATTCACACTCCTGCCCACCGAGGTTTGGGCTCTTCCATTGTCATCCGCAGCAACTTCAGCCCTTTCGGCCTCTGGTCCCCAGTGCTGCGATGGGGGCTCTGTTTGCATTGCTTCTTGGCCTCGACTGTGTGTGGTATTGGATTGCAGGTTTGCGTGTGCAATTGAACGGAAGATAGAGTCATGATCTCTTCGCGCGGGCAAGATGAACATCCTCCTGTCTGTATCAGTGCCAGGATGCTGCAAAGAACCGGCAGCTTGAGACTTGGACTGAATGTACTGCATGCTGTTCAGACGACGTGTGCTTGCACTTGCTAACTGTGTTTGTTTTCTGCTTTGGTCCAGCAAGCAGGCCAGTTGCCATCTTTCTCCATCAGCTCTGGAATGGATTGCATTTGTTCTTCGTGGCTTGTTTGGCGTCGTGGCACTTCTCCGAGCGTGACTTGGAGCACGGGGCAGTAGACTTACTCGAGGCACGTGAAGCTTCGAGGCTGCAGATGCCTAAGCCTTCCTCGGCCAAGGCACGATCGAAAAAGCTGCGATCTGCCACCTGACCTGGACAGTTGTCATCATTTGTCGTCAGTGTAACAGCAGTAACCGCAACGGGTGGTGATGGCGAAGGCGGTCTGATGTTGCTGCATCATTTGCCTCCTGTCGAACTCTGGCAACACGAGGCTATGTCTAGGCATCTTCATGCTGGAGATCTCGGAGTCCATGCTGAGCGAAGCGTGGGTTGTGATGTTTTCGCAGAGACTTCTGTGAAGAGGAGGCAGTACAGGCACGGCCTAGTCATGAACGATGTGGCGATGGGCCGCTCCAATCGCCTCCCTGCCGACTCGGCGTCATGACCTTCCCTTGCACGTCAAGTCAAGCGAGTCGAATGCCACGGATGCCTTTGATCCAGCCAAACTTGGTGGCGGAGCCTGTTTGGGATGAGGTGTCAGAGAACATCGCCCAAAGGCCTTCGCTGGGGACAGGCTCAGCGTCAGACTCAGCCTGCCGTGGCTCATCTTGAATGTGATGTGGCGACAATGGAGTGAGCCGCGGAATTTGCAGAAAGGTGCGTGCTTGCAGCCTGCAGCCTGCACAGTAACTCCAATCCGGGTCAAAACCGTATTGGTTGAGGCCTGCAGGGTTTCCTGAATCCCAGCAGTTCCAAGGCTGGTTCTGGATTCTAGAGGCCCAGAGGCCAGCAGGCTACCTGCGAGCTTGCATCGGATCCTGTCGGCTCGTCTTGCAGCTGGCATGTTGGGAGCCTTTTGTCTGACGGAGGGCTTCGGACCGAAGTGTCATTCTCCGGAGTGCTTTTTCGTCTTTCCGACTTGTATATCCATCTAGTCGTCTAATCTATCTGTTTGTCTCTACTTGGTATCATCTTGCTCTCTGTCTCACTCTCGCGCTCGCGCTCATGTTCACTCTCACTCTCACGCTCTCTCTCTCTCTCTCTCTCTCTCTCTCTCGCTCTTTCTGTCGCTCTCTCTCTCTCTCTCTCTCTTTCTCTCTCGCTCTCTCGCTCGCTCTCTCTCTCTCTCTCTCTCTCTCTCTCTCTCCAGTGTGGCTGG